CCTCTTGGCCTGTTTCTTTGCTTGATTGTACATGTACCAATATTGCAACCGCGGGCTTATGCACTCAAGCAGACGCTAGGCCATTCAATCCTTAGGCTGTGTAGCTGTAAGTCTAACTTTCACGCATCTCAGAGATCATCAGACAGCGGTACTTGGCATTTGGCATTCACCAAATATCGCTGTCTGATGATCGCTGAAATGGGTGAAACTCCAAGTTACAGCTACACAGCCTTTCGCCGCTCTGTTGACAGTGTTGTACATTGTATGTGCAATGCCATTATTATTATTATTATTATTATTTAAAAATTCGACGAGGAGACAATAATTTTAATATGGCAATAAGTAGGACGAGCTGAAGCGACATGTGGACTACTTTATTAACAATGTAAGCGATGGAGACGATGCAAGAAACAACCTAAAGGGTAAGGAAAAATACATGTAAGAAGAAAAAGGGCAATGGAAAAAAAAAAGATGATTCGAACAAGTTTTCGTACAACACTCTTCAGGAATCACCGTTGTACTAAAGAACAAAATGAGAACAAAGGAAATAATATAGCAATCAAGGTAGGGTGACACGATACAATGACAGCACTAGAATATCGAGGTGCGATTTCTCACAAAAGTGTGCAGAAAACAAGGGTATACAAGTAAGAACTAAGCGTGACAAGTGTGTATCAGCAACAAAAAACAAAAAAAAGTGAGAACGAATGATAATAATAACAATAATAAACAAGAAGGTGACAAAACACATTTAGGCACAAGTGGCAACAACGTTGCCACACTACACAACAGAACATTATTTGAACAATTTTAAGGTAATAACACTATCTTTCTGGACACACAAATTCGGCTTATGAATGCGCTGACAAACAGCTTCCAAAACTTGTAACTGCAAAAGATAACCATGACGAGCACGGCACAAAACAGAAAAACAGGAATCAGAATAAGTACGACAACAGTCAGTACTAGAAACCAAATGATTGTATACTGAAGACTTGTTATTACGAGACGGACGCACACAATCTCGACTCACGCGCACACCCTCACACTCACTCTCACCCTCACTCAGCTCACCTTCTCCCTCACTGTCCGAATCAGAACCTGCTCCGTCATCCACCGCGGTTTGACTCTCCTCCTCACTTGCATCGTCCTGCGTCTCACCTTCACCACCCACGCCAACCCTGAATGCCGTTGCCTTCACGTCAGTCGTCGTCCTTTCCGATTGTTTCCTTTGTATTTTTACCGTGAATTCATAGGTCCGGTTGTAATCTGCTGTAGATCTCCGTGGTCTGTCATTTGCTGCTTTGTTTTGTGGATTAGTTGTTGTTGTTGTTGGATGTGAACCTGGTGTTGTTGTTGGATGTGCAGCTGGTGTTGTTGTTGCAGCCATGGTTGTTGGTCTTTCTGTTGGATCCAGCTCTGGTTCCGGTGGGACAAATCGACCGCCGCGGGTGCTCCCCACCAACACAGACCTCGAAGGAGGAGGGTCAGGGGGAGGCAGAGGTGCTGTCACCACTCGAGGCACAGCCCCATGCAAAGCACCCAGAGACACAGACTTAGGCACACCCGAGGGCTGCACCAATGGCGGTTCCGCACGCACCTCCAAAGAGCTGCCAAGCTCCAGCCCGTCCAACACAGATGTCAGAGGGGGAGCGGCAGACAGCGGCAGGGAACTATCCTGCCGTCTAGGTGATGGGTTTTTCCTAGGCCTCCCGCGTTTGGGCCTCTCAGATTGCGCACTGGGTGGAAGGATGTGAAGTGGAGTGTGTTGTTTGATACGTGCGTTCAGGTGCTGAACAGTCCTACCAACATACCGACTAGCACAATGTCGGCATTCGAAGTTGTAGATAACATGACTGAGGTGGAGGGTTGGTAGGACGTCCTTCCGCACCGTGAACGCACGCATTGTTGTGAAGACTGGCACAAAATGTACTGCATAATAAGTACGACGGACGATAGACTTGACTGCGTGACACACTTTGACCGATTCCTGCCCCTTCCATGGCAAACATAGATAGACGGGACAGCGAGGTGGACCAATCAGCACCGATTTCGGTTTCTGCTCCATGGACAGAAACTTACGCAACAAGAATTCCGGATAGCCATTCTTCAAGAAAACAGATCGAAGAAAATCGAGCTCGGCCTGCAGCTTACTGGGCGAACAAATACGTTCCGCACGGTCCACGAGGTTACGAACTAAGTTGACCTTGTATTGAGACGAACAATATGAATCGAAGGCAATGTACTGACCGGTGAACGTAGGCTTACGATACACAGAAGTCAACATTTCACAGCCAGTCTTCTCTACAAGCACGTCTAGAAATGACAACTTACTAGACTGCTCGTGCTCACAAGTAAAGCGGAGGGAAGGATGTAGGCTGTTGAGCACATCGAGAAACAATTCACTGCTCTCAACACTGTCAAAATGCGTGAACGAATCGTCAACAAAACGCACGTAGAACGCGGGCCAAAGCGACTCATCAATCTTGCACTCACAATAACCAACGAATATATTGGCGAGGACGGGACCAAGAGGAGATCCCATCGCCACACCATCTACTTGCTTGTACATCACATCGTTGAACGAAAATTCGACACCAGTTGTAACTGACAGCATCAAATGACGAAACGCCGCTTCCGATACCCATGGAGTATCAACATCATCGTTACGGTACAATACATCCATACAGATGTCAACAGTCTCATCAATAGGAACATTCGTAAAGAGACTTACAACATCGAAGGAACACATGTGTGCATTGAGAGGGACCGGACTATCACGAAGCCTCGCAACAAAGTCGAAGCTATCCTTCACAGTGCGTTTGCAATAGTAATCTTGAACAGGCTGTAGGTAGATGCACAGCCATTTCGAGATAGAGTATTGAGGGGAGGCGGTCATGGATACTATTGGTCTAACAGGGCATGTAGGTTTATGAATTTTAGGAAGGCCATAGAGTCTAGGACGAAGGGTACCAGTCGGTTTGATGCGATCGAATTCATGTTTTGATATTTGTTCTTCATTCTTTAGCTTCTTAAGGTAAGTTACAAGATCCTTTTCTACTTTTTCAGTTCGATCACAGGTCTTGACCGGACCAAGTGTACGGAACTTTGATGTGTCATTTAGGATAACGGACATCTTCTCGATGTAGTCAGTTTTATTCATTAAAACAGTTGCACGACCCTTATCAGGGCGCGTGACAATAATGTCTTTGTTATTGCGTAGCTCATGCAGGGCTTTGAGATGTTCGCGTTTCAATGAAAACGTTCTTCTATCCGGTAATGCATCAGCGTGTTCCTCGGCCTCTGCCCGGATCTTTGCGGCGCCAATGGACTGTTGTGACTCGGACACCGGTCTGAAGCGTAATAACTTGCGGTAAAAGAGCTCAAACTCGGTCATGATTACTTCCTTCTTGTTTGATTTTGGTGGAATCCCGAAATCGGTTCCACGACAGAGGAGCTCTTTCTGAAGAGTGGTCAACTCTAGTGATGTCATGTTAATTATGGTGGTATCAGGATCGATGGTGACATGTCCATATCTTTTCTGTCTTAGCCAATTGTAGGTCTTGTCATGTTTTGTGATTAGATGGATACGTTGTTTCTGGTCATTTTCCGAAAGGAGCATAGAGAATCTCAAGAAGTCGTGAGAGGAGAGAAAGCAGCGTGCACGATCATACAAATACCTAAACCGCGAACGTGACTTTGACAAAGTGTCGCAGGACCGGGCAATCTCGTCTTTCATGAATACGCGTTCGATGTTTAACGTGTGAGGGAGAAGGTGAGCTGAGTGAGGGTGAGAGTGAGTGTGAGGGTGTGCGCGTGAGTCGAGATTGTGTGCGTCCGTCTCGTAATAACAAGTCTTCAGTATACAATCATTTGGTTTCTAGTACTGACTGTTGTCGTACTTATTCTGATTCCTGTTTTTCTGTTTTGTGCCGTGCTCGTCATGGTTATCTTTTGCAGTTACAAGTTTTGGAAGCTGTTTGTCAGCGCATTCATAAGCCGAATTTGTGTGTCCAGAAAGATAGTGTTATTACCTTAAAATTGTTCAAATAATGTTCTGTTGTGTAGTGTGGCAACGTTGTTGCCACTTGTGCCTAAATGTGTTTTGTCACCTTCTTGTTTATTATTGTTATTATTATCATTCGTTCTCACTTTTTTTTGTTTTTTGTTGCTGATACACACTTGTCACGCTTAGTTCTTACTTGTATACCCTTGTTTTCTGCACACTTTTGTGAGAAATCGCACCTCGATATTCTAGTGCTGTCATTGTATCGTGTCACCCTACCTTGATTGCTATATTATTTCCTTTGTTCTCATTTTGTTCTTTAGTACAACGGTGATTCCTGAAGAGTGTTGTACGAAAACTTGTTCGAATCATCTTTTTTTTTCCATTGCCCTTTTTCTTCTTACATGTATTTTTCCTTACCCTTTAGGTTGTTTCTTGCATCGTCTCCATCGCTTACATTGTTAATAAAGTAGTCCACATGTCGCTTCAGCTCGTCCTACTTATTGCCATATTAAAATTATTATTATTATTATTATTTTTTTTTTTGCAAAGCATCAGTCTCAAGTGATGACATGAAAAGATGCTGATGTAAAGACCTCTAGCCTGATCAGAGCTGGATATCTTCACACGGAGCCTCACAACTGCTTTGTTTCAACTCGGAAGAAACTGCTGACACCCTCAATGCTAACAAGTAACAAGTACTAACAACCTCCTAAGGACATTAGGTATTAGCATTTGAAATGCCGAACCTCTCCACTATGAGAATAGATCCACCCTTGTTGCGATAAAAAAACTCACTGTGTAAGTTAGTGCTGCAGTGCTACTCCCACTAGCAAGAGAAAATAGTCAAAATAAGCTGCCTGGGAGCTTTTACTCTTCTTAACAGTTAGTACACGTAGTACTGTAGAAGTATAGAGGTTGAAAGTGACGTTGCCAAGAAGTCAACAAGTAACAACACTCTCCCGTTGTTCACATTCCATTCTTTGTGCATGCCACTAAGACCGAAGCGTCACGTTTTTTAAATGTTCCTTTTCTGGGAATCTGCTTGAGCAGGGCAAAAGATCTGCAATACGAGTCGGAGAAGAAGGCTTTTTGAATAAATTACAGTGAGTGTCTGCACAGCAGAAGAGGGCAGGGAGCACCACGAAAGACCGCCGTGTGCTCAATAACTGGAATATTGAATAGGGCTGAGCTGGCGCATAACAAGTTACATGTACACACACACGGACACGCACGCACGGACACACACACACACACGCGCATGCAAAAGTTCGAAAGAGCTGGAGCTGTGTGACCTTCTGAAAGGGACAGTGGGTCTTTACTATCAAGGCGCCGTAGATTCCAGTTTCGCGGAGAAAGCCACATGGAACAGGGGGAGTTGTGTGCAAATGATACCATGGACCAGCCTGCTGGATATGTTATAACCACTTACATGAGGATCAATCAAAGGTGCCGTAGGGCCAGATGGGGGAGTGCAGCAACGTATTACAAGACAAAAAACCGATGTGAACTAGGAATATTGCCAGTACTTGACTGCAGTATAAAAGTGAATATTTGGTACCTTGAGGAATGGCACGTGGCTATAGAAGTACGACAAACACATTCTAAAAAGTGACACACCCTGGGTATGGTACAAACTTAGCAGTGTAGGCAATCCGCTAGACAGAGCGGTGTGACATCATCATCATAGCAACTAGCGCTGGATGACAGCATGCGTACCGTTGTGCAATGGTGGAATGCGATCACACCTGTACCGCCTAGCTGACAATCATGAATACTGCTTGACCATGGGACAGGAGCGTTTGGTGTGTCCTGCAGGCCGTAATCACACACAAAAAGATGCCAACAGTCACTACACCACATATAGTACTTGTACACTGTACAATGATGAGATACTCAGTTTCTCAATTTCACCATAATGATGGAATACCCAACGCATGCTACGACTCCCAGATGCACATGTAAGCCAGCGCTTTCTACACAGAACAGTAGAATGCTGTGCTGCCACTCAGAGGCTCACATCAAATCACGATCATCAGGTATTGTACATAGTTACTTGCAAGTAGACTTCAGACAGTACTTGTAAGTCTCAACTACGGTGCTGTCGGCAGAGTTTGAATACAGCGCTTACCTGGCTTTCGGCACACACTGCACGCTGGTGGCTTGCGTTTCTTGGCAGTGCCAGCACCAGCACCGGTACCAGCACCACCTCCGGCACCAGCATACCCATCATCACCTGTTGATGATTGCATAGCGTATGCTCTCTTCTGACCGCGACCAGGAGCACCCAGCATACCCGGAGCACTGTTGTAACCAGATGAAGTGTTTGTTTGACCTCCTCCACCTCCACCTCCTCCACCTCCACCTCCTCCACCTCCACCTCCACCTCCCCATCCTCTTGTGCTGCTACTGCCAAAACCACCAGCGGATGTTGCTGCAGAGTTGGAGGTAGAGGATGCACCGTCCGTAGTGACTTCGTCGACCCACTTGAAGAACGAGCACTGGCTCTCCCGCTGTGCCTTGCCGCACTTGTAGAACAGGCGACCCTGGTTTGGACCTTCCTTCCTCACTGCATACCTGCAGACAAACACGCATGCACGCACACACACACACAGACACAGACACAGACACAGACACAGACACACACACGGACACACACACACACACGACAATACACTGGGTCCATCTAGAGATGATAGCATTTCCCAGAGTGTTCAAGTCACCAGCAGAATCAGGCGTCACGAGTCAAGTTCTGACGCTGCCGATATCTTCTGCAACAATGTCACACCACCCAAAATGAGGCCAACAGAAAGACTGGGCGGATGGCAGATGGCCAAACACCATCTACTTCGGCACTCGAGAACAGTCATCGGGAGCGAGGTGACCTATCTCCTCCAGACACACATACACAGACATGGACACAGACACGGTCACGCGCAGACACCAACACAGACACCCACACCTCAGACCTGCGCGTCGCGGAAGCGATGATAGCGAACAGCTATGTTAGACATAGCAACTTGTGCTGGGATTACACCATTCAACAGCTTGCAAGGCTGGTGAATTGACCGCCACTAATTTTAGCCTGGTATCCACCACACAGCTGATTGAAGTGGCTTTTTCTGGCCAGTGAATCCCTATTTTTCATTTTTTCATTTTTCTTCTTTTTTATACACCCACATGCCACACCACATACTCCGGCATACACTGGCTGTTGGTAACCACCCAGGAGAATGAAAGAAGAGCTAGGAGACACACACACACAACACACACACACAACACGCACACAACACACAAACTCCTCCAATTACCAGCATGTATTGCCAGTGCATACGCATAGTAAACCTCACACATTGACTTACTGGGCACACGCCAAGTCACAATTGCATCGTACAGTACCACCACCATCACCACCACCGCTGCCACCACCGCCGGCTTGATTGGAGTATCCGGAAACACCATCACTTGACCTGGAAGAAACCCGAATAGAGAACAACACAACAGCATAACGGCACACAGTCCACATTGAATACCAACTAATACCAACACATTGCATACCCACAAATAATTCCCAGTGTCAAGGCTGGGTATATTCTGGTGCCGAATACCACATACAAGAGTACTTAGAACTTAGTTAGAAGCACAAGCGGCGACACCACAGCCCTATGAACCATTGAAGGCCAAACACATGTGCACCAAGAAACCATCTCTTGTAGATTAAAAAAACCCCAGCTGTACTGGTACTTACCGGCGAGATTCGTACGATGTACCAGCTGTTATGAATTGGCAAATGGTGAGTTCACCAGACAAACACAGAGACAAAGCAAGAACAACAAGCCATTACATTCATACGCCAAGAACACATTCATACTCACTGTAGTGGTAGTAATGTTATGTGTGTACCCCCCCCCCCCCCCCGCCCCCCCCCCCCCCCCGCCCACACACACACATCACTCTGTTTGGCCAAATTCGAACCACGCACGGTATATTTCTATCGCACATTTCATATAAAGGGGTAAGCAGCAGCATTCGGCCCTGTACAGATTTTTCCATCAACCACCACACTATAACTGCACTTTCCAGCCGACCTCGACACATTGCTACAGCACACCACCAGCAAAGCCGGCAACACATCCATTGATACTGAATTCCTTCATACAGCAACGTGTCGAGGTCGGCTGCAGAGCGCAGTTATGGTGTGATGGTTGATGGAAAAAAATCTGCACATTTCACATCCTCAATATAATGCACACCTGGGATGTACGATACTCGTAAAAAAAATCCGGCCAATACTGCACATGGTAGTCGACTATGATGCATGTAGCATTGGCCGGATTTTTTTGGCAAATACCGTAAGTGCTGAGACAGTGCATTCAAAGTGCACTGTCTCGGCATACCGCTAGCCTGGCAGTGATCACACTCATCAAAGACCTAACCATCCAGCCAGTGACACACCGGGGTGTCAGAAACACCTCACCCCACAGCATACCCTAGAAACGTACAAGCATGCTGACGGTGATGTGTTCATGAAGACCGAGCATACACACAGTGTCACCAAGATTAGAGAGTACCGGTAGACATGATCACAAAGCATACCACTTCTGATTTGAAGTTCTGAATAGCTGCACACCACTAGAAGCCGGCTATTCCGTAAGGTTCCACGAGACTTACTGCCATTGCCTCGACCACCACCTCCTCCTCCGAAACCACCTCCACCTCCACCACTGGTAGCAGTATCATCGGCCCATTGAAAGAAGTCACAACCTTCCTTGTACGGCTTGGGGCAGCCGTAGAACTCCCGACCTGAGAGCAACAGCAAAGGGCACGGTGCAGAAAACTCACAAAAAGCTGCACAAGAAGTGTCACACAGTGAGTACACAGGCTAGACCGTGTTCTCTGCTGGGTACTACTTGTAGCACTAGTACATGTAGTACAGTTGCGCTCACTGAAATCCAATCCAAAGTGCAACGCTGGTGCCCTGGACCAGTTCCGGTTACATCACTGTATGTGTACATGTGTACGTCGGTCCTGCCGCATTCGTGCCACTTCCAGGGCATCAAGGGCCGTGCCAGGTGAGAGTGCCAGCTTTGCACTGTGGGTCGGATTTCAGTGAGCGCAACTGCAGTACTAGACAGAATCAGCAGTACTAAGTTTAGTGCAGTAAGACCCAGGGTACACACATACAGTGCTGCCAAACCGTCCGATTTTTGAGGGCTCTTCCGAAAACCGGTCCGAAAAAGGAAACGTCCGAAAAGCAGCCAAAAATATCAGGGATCAGTACTTTCCTATGCAGAAGTCCTGTATTTTCACTTTTCAGCGCAACTGAAGGCACAAATCACTGTACATGTGCTTCTAAAAAGGCTGGCGATGGGCTGTGAAACTAACTTGAAGTGCAAAGAAGTAACACGCCTGGATGGCATGTACACTGTACAGTGTGTGACCACATTCATACATTAGAAAACTCATGACAACTTCGGGGTGCACATAGCCAGCAAGACCCAGGGTACACTCAGCATACACAGGCCAGGACGACATGCTAATCAACCGTCATGTACATGCACACATACAAACACATACCCGTCACTACTGCACTGCCGCCACTGACCTTGATTGGGGCCTTCTTTACGCACAGTCTTGACAACCGCCCGTTGTTCACAGCGGCACAGCACTACGGGTGCCTCACCCGCTCCAGTGGACGTAGTGCCATCATCACCAAAGTCACCAATTCCCTCCAGCAACATCTCTTCGTCTAGTCCTTCAAAGCCATCACCACCAAATGAGTTAGACTGGTTGGATTCGCCCTGCTGACCTCTTGCTGTTGACGACAATGAGTGCTGTCCACCTGCTGCTGTAGTGCTGGAGTACGGGTTATGTGATGGCGGGTTGTAAGCGCCATTTGAGCTGCTCGATTGCGCTGGGCGGGCCGAAGATTGATGATGCCCGGCAGAGTAGGAATGATGTGATGATGACGTCATAGAGTGGTGTGATGACGTCGTGGCGGCGCCGTGATCAAAGACATGCGACTGGTTGTCATTAGAGAAAGCGCTAATGTGACGTTGTGCACCGCTGCCAGCAGCAGAAGCACCTTGAGCTGACCTACCGGCAGCTGAGCTGGAAACATGGCTGCCGCCGCCGGCGCCACCACTACCACCACCACCGCGTGTAGCAGATGAGCTCGATGAGAAGGTGCCACCACTCACGTTGCTAGATCGTGGGTGCTCTCTGCTGTTTGCACTATGTGTGTTGGCAGCTGCTGTGCTACTCGCCAGAGATTGAGCTGGTGCCGGCGGCCTGGATCCGGCCGACACACTGCTAGCGGCACCTCCTAAGAAACAATACAGGAATCATGGCAGCAACAATTCAGGCAAGAATGCCTTAAAACGCACAACCAAAGCAAGCAGGCAATGCCACCTCTGCTAAGCCACTATCACTACTCATCAACCTCTGCTAAGCCACTATCACTACTCATCAACCTCTGCTAAGCCACTATCACTACTCATCAACCTCTGCTAAGCCACTATCACTACTCATCAACCGATGCTGGCCCATGCACTACATGTAGTCTTTTGGACGATGAGTCGACTGGTTTTGGTCCGGAAAGGCTGCGATGCAGCGTTCGGCCCTTATTCCCAATCGAACACGGGTGAGTAAGCGGTCACGCGCTCGTGCGTACACCAGTCGCCTGGCCACCATGCCTGCAGGCTACAATTTTCACACCAAGGTTCAACTCGAGTGACAGGAACGCTGTAAAAGTTGTAGCCTGCGGGCACGGTGACCAGGTGACTGGTGTACGCATGAGCACGTGACCGCTTACTCACCCGTCTTTGATTGGGAATAAGGGCCGAACGCTGCATCGCAGCCTTTTCGGACCAAAACCAGTCGATTTAGCGTCCAAAAGACTACAACATATGGACCAATCGCGGTCATCCGTACATATACACGTACAAACACACACACAGTACCCAGTCAACAAACCTGTAGTGGCAGGACGGGACCTCGACAAATTGCGCATTCGATCAGTCAGCTTGAGTGCCGAGGCAAACATTGCATCGCAGCCTCGGTAGCAGCCTTCATAACTACGAAGAAAACACAAAACCACCCAAAAGTCACTCATGAGAGCTGCCGAAATCACTGGCTCACAGTAATAAGATCACCGATACAGAACATTGGACATGTTTTCCTTAGGTGAGGGTGGGGAGTTGAAGGGTGAAGGGTCTTTCGGATCACACACTGCAAGGGCAGTAGTATACACTGCTCGGGAGTACAATGTACTTTCAAAGTTGGTGCAGAGAGAAAGAGGTCAATGAATGGTGATATTACATTAAAAAAAGGTTGCCATGTTCAGTTGCTCCCATTGTCCATGGAGGGGTAAAATACATCCGGGGGAAGGAGGGGAAGGAATGGCGGATATACTCAGGGGAAGGGGAATGAACCCAATTTTCGTGCTCACCCCTGCTTCAATCCAGTTGGTGCACCACCTCTCTTGAACTTCACCTTCACCTTGAATACAGCACCAGGAGGTTTACACTGCACACAACACAATCAGAACATAACACAACACACCACATCACAACACATCACAACACAACACATCACATCACATCACATCAGAACACAGCACATCACACCACACCACACCACATCCTCGCACTAATGATAAGCTCAAGGCGACGACCATGGTCATCGTCAAGTAGCTAGCACTAGGCAATTACACTACTACAACTCCTGTCTAGTCTAGACTTTGTTGTTCATATAACTCCTGACGGAAGTTGATAACCCAAAACGAGTCGGTGCGGCTTACGCTACGATGGTGAAATACATGTAGACGGCGATACACCGGGTAGATAGACACCCTTAGCAAAAAACGTTATGTTGTAACGGTATTATCGTAAGGGGGAAAATACCGTGATTTGGTTTGGACCTTTAGCAAGATGCACGCTATTTTTAGTACGCTGTTGCCACGAGAATAGCTTTGATTTCGCGCGGTACAACCACTTTTGTCACCATATACGCGATACAAGGTGAAATGCGTACGGACTATGCAATATTTGGCCAAAACACGTACCGTTGGTCACAACGATAAATCAGCCCCCATAACGTTTATACGCTGCAGCTTCAACGCTATTTGGGTGATCAAGGTACGAGTACCGTAAAAAATAGCGTTACCGTTGTTTGCTAAGGGTGTCTGATGTCTGCATTTCGTGACTAAAAACTGGGTGCGGTTTACACTAGTACATGTATACTAGTACTCCAGTGCGGCTTATACTCCGGAAAATACGGTACTTGTCACCTGCAACGGAGGAGAGCGACCGCATCCAGTATGAAATCCCCCCCCCCCCCCCCACACACACACTGTCACACATACATGCCCCCCCCCCCCCCAACATGCATATGACCAGGGCAAAGATAGTAGAAACATCAGCAGCAGCAGCACTGCCATCGCTGACAGCAAAACTTCATTACATGCCAAGTAACTTAGCTCACCTGATCGCATTTCTTCTTTGCCGCTGTGAGCCCAGTGACGATCTCCGGGAAGAATATCGAGGCTCTACAACCAGGGTAACAGTTGCAGCCTATCATGAATCTGAATAGCATAGCAACAGCAGCAAACAGCACACACACATACGTTGATGGTGGGCTACTCTGAGTGATATGCTGACAGCTACACATATTCTGGTTTTCTGCCTCATCCACTCGACCAGCGTTCATCAGTACATGTACTTGGGAGGGGGGACATAAGCCAAAATTAGCAATGGTCTTACTTATACATAAACCAGACACACACACACACCTCAGACCTCATGCCCATCGCGGAAGCGATGATAGCGAACAGCTATGTTAGACATAGCAACTTGTGCTGGGATTACACCATTCAACAGCTTGCAAGGCTGATGAATTGACCGCCACTATTTTTAGCCTGGTATCCACCACACAGCTGTTTGAAGTGACTTTTTCTGGCCAGTGAATCCCTATTTTTCATTTTTCCATTTTTTTCTTTTCTTTTTTTCTACACACACCACACCACATACTCCGGCATACACTGGCTGTTGGTAACCACCCAGGAGAATGAAAAAAGTCAGGAAGAGTCTGAGAAAGAGAAGAAAGACGTGTGCGACCATAATCGTCGGGAATTGAACCCGCAACATATGAACACACACACACACACACACACACACACACACACACACACACACACACGCACACGCACACACTTACCCTCCAGCTTTTTTCTCACGGATGCACATCTGCCCAACACCGCACTGTGGACACGGCCCAGCCGGCTCTCCTGCATTAGGATTAGGGTGCAAACCACCGCCACCACCACCACCGCCGCCGTCAAACCCTCCACCACCACCACCACCTGGACCTCCTGGACCTCCACCACCTGCAAGACACCCCATGAGCCATGAGCCACATATTTTAATTTTTCAAACTAAAATCGTAATACGAACAGCAGAGAACTTACTAGCCTTACAACCATACACACATGCACAAGCACAATCACAAGTGACATGCACGCATACACATCCGAGGCACACGTATACACACACGTACACACAGACACACACACAAACACACACACACACACACATGTGCATGCACACAGACGTGGACACAGACACACACACATACACACACACACACAGACAGAGACACAGCCAGAGACACAGACACACACACACACATCCACTCTCAGTCCATGTGCTATATTTAAGATGTAATGAGGTTGTACAAATTGAAGACTTCAACAGCATGTATATAACATACCAGGTGGCGGAGGTTGGTTAGTCGGGTCTCCAAAGTACACTGAGAGAGCGTTCTCCAGAAGATTCTTCTGCAAAGGCCAGAGACAGCAATGTTCCAGCATGATGCTAACAACATAATGCTACTAAATTCTACGCACAATTAGGAATCGCCACAGAATGATCCCATAGCCGATTTTTCATAGCAAAGTAGTCTCCAATGCAGTAAACTAAAGTGATAAACGTACAGGCAATGCAAGGAAGTTCTAGTGCCCTAGTACCCTAGTGTCCTAGTACCCTAGTGTCCTAGTGCCCTAGTGTCCTAGTGCCCTAGTGTCCTAGTGCCCTAGTGTCCTAGTGCCCTAGTACCCTAGTGTCCTAGTGCCCTAGTGCCCTAGTGTCCTAGTGCCCTAGACAAGCTATACACCACTCTACAGATACACCCATCTTGTCATTGTGTGCCTTTCTTTAAAGGGGAAGCTCACCCTAAAAATGAATAGAATAGGCTAGATCTGGGAGGTCACAGAGAGACACTTTGGAAGTGGATGGGGGAATAACCAATTTCTTTCTTGTTTCTCTACAACAACGACCTTCTTGCGTGACCTTTTTTTCCAGTCGGGATACCGGTAAGGTGCCATACGTCTTCAAGAACTCTGTTCGAATGCTTTTTTTACCCGTAGTCCCTCTCCCTCAACATGAGGAGGGAGCAGCAACCTGCTCATCATTCCTGTGCACACCACTGCATCCTCAGCTAAGCGTATCAGTCATGCTGGAGCTATCCTGTGGAACCAGCGCCCACACACTTGAACAAAAAGTGCTCCACTTTGAAGTCACTAAGCTTGGCTTATCTATTAGGTAGTGCCCTCGACTTCAATTGTAGTACACATCTGATTCATCTCTCTCTCTAGATCCCTCCCTCTCACCCCCTCCCTCTCTCCCCTCCCCCTCAAGACCTTTCCAGCTGTGTATCGATTGTCGCAATGGACCTATTTCGAACGGAGTTATGGAAGTTTGCACCCTGATCTATGCCCTGCAATATACTGTGCAAATAAGTATAATGACGTCTATAGACGTCATTAGTCCTCTAGCGTATAGCGTGCATGATGTCTATGGACGTCATTAGCACGAAAAGGGTTAATGACGTTACCATGAAGTCACCAAATTTTGTGAAAACTTCCAGCTGTTGAAACTCCGGAAAGGCTGCTCCGATCGACCCGGGACCTTCACAATTGGAATCAATGCATTTTCACAAGTTCTGAAGTTTTCATTTAGGGTGAACTTCCCAACCAGGCTAAGCAGTAAGCTGCTGCATCAACAGCAAGTTCAGCAAAGTGTGCCCGCCACTGAATCATGTTATTGCCCGTTTGAGTGAGGTCACTGCACGGAGCAGATACTTGTAAGTCCAACTGAGAGGGCAAGACTTGGTTCGAAGATCTCAGCATTGTGCAGAGAACGTCAACTCCTCCATAGCATGGCACTGCCCATTACTGGTAGACTAGATAGCATTCACAATTACACATAAACTGCTGACACGGCCAGTCACCATATAGCACAGATTGAGTATAATATGACCAGTCACCATACGGCACAGATTGAGTATCCAGGACCAGTCACCATACCTGCGCTAATGCCTGTTCAAAGACATGGCGGTACCTCTGCAGCATATCCCTGACAACATCTAAACAAGAGAAACAACACCACACATCACCACACATCAGTGTACAACGCCCACACTCGCACAAGGCCAGTTAGTCAAACTCAGGGCGGAAGAGGGTAAGCAGGGCACATCGAACAGCCAAAGCATCATTCAGAAGAAGACATGTATCTGTCGAAATACTGCTATAATATCAGCACGGGACATGGTTGTAAGTTAGAGATATCAAACAGGACAAACAGTAAGCAGAGACTACTAATCACATGTTTTCAGAGAGAACACCATGTCTCTTACCATTCTTCTGCTTTCGCCTCTCACAAATTCTGAATGAAAAGAAAGGGAACATGACAAAACAAAACAACATAAGAACCCTACATAACCAATAGTACTCTTGACAATAGAGTCTGATTAGTTTTGCCCTCAATCTTGGCGACAAAATATGCGTGACGAGTACGTGACGTACGCAATACGCATCCTGTGGCAGGAGGAGCCATGCAGCTTCCGTCAGATGGACCAAGTGGAGGTGTCCTTCAGTTGGATGGCCAATTCAATGGCTGCACTGTTCGGGAGGCCCTGAAGATGAAGCACCCAGAGTCCACACCTCCTCACCCGGATGCCATCACAGGGCCTGCTGGAGAGCCGGGTCACGCGCCCGGCTGGGGAACTGCACGACCTGGCTGAACAGATAACACCGGGTCCAGTCTGACCCGGCCGAAAAATGTCTCAAACTGACAGAGGATTCCTAAAATACCGGTACTTTACGACTCGCAGACCCCATCTATCTGTTGCAAATTAATCTAGCGCAACCGTAGGTCTACACCCTGATCTACACACTACACTACACTACAGTCTATGAGCGACAGAAACTCGGCTAGGGTCAACTGGTCTGGGGTCAACAGGTCCGAGCGCGATCTGGCCAGCGGCGAGCAGGAAGTCAGGACATTCAAAGTCGATGGGGCAGGCAGTCAAAAGCGTAACTAACGTTACGTTGGCTATAGCTTTTGACACAGTTGCAAGTAAGTTAGTTTAGTTTTCAGCCGACTGGTGATTTGGACGATGGAGCCCGCAGCGAAGAGAAAAAGAACTCACGCTTTCCAAGACTCTTGGAAGAAAGGTCGACCTGGCTGGACTACGACCATGCCAGTCTATCCATGTCATGCGCTTTGTGCAAGACGCATTTCCAAAGGAAGACGAGCGGCGGTGGATTTGGTCGCGATGACGTTCCTGCCGTCGCCGACTTCAACTACGACAAGGCTATGGCTGCATGGCATTCTGAGGTGACTCGGCGCACTACGACTGCAACGTCAACCTCGTCTGAAAGAAGGGACCTGGCCCGCACATCCAGAGCAGCAGCGGCAGCAGCAACGCCAGCAGCAGCAGCAGCAGTTGCAACTCCACCAGTTCTCCAGTCTGCTGAAGCCTTTCAGCAGATGGTGCAGCAGATGCCAGTCGGCTTGGCCATGCGGGTGATGCAATGGCAGCAAGCAGCTACTCCACAAGGTGCTGCAGGCACCCCCCCCATGACATTGCCAACTGTGCACGCCGTCTTGCAAGTAGCCACGTCGACCCTGCATCCCTGGGTGCGTATGTGGCCAGTCGGCTGATCCCACTTGACAAGCGACCTGGGGTTCGACCAATAGGAGTTGGCGAAGTACTGCGGTGGATTGTTGGAAAGGCTATACTGTCCATCGTCGTCAGCGACATCCAGGAAGCAGCAGGCAGCTCGCAACTGCGTGCTGGGCAAGAATGTGGCATTGAATCCGCCATCCATGCCATGCGTGAAGTGTTCGACAACAGCGATCGCGAGTACACACCTCTTGGTGATGCAACGAATGCTTTCAACAGCATCAACAGAGAGGTTTGCCTACGCAATATCCAGCACCTTTGTCCAGCCCTGGCTCAGATTGCTATGGACTGCTACCGCGACCCATCTCATCTCTTTGTTGGCGGTGAATCCCTGTTTTCCAGCGAAAGAACCAAGCAAGATGACCATGATGACCCCATTGCCATGCCACTGTATGCCATCGCTGTCCTTCCGCTCAATCTCGCTGTTGCTACGGAGGGGTCCACCCAGGCACTGTATGCCGATGCTGCTGCATGGTGCTGGTGGCAAGGTTGCAAGCGTCCGCTGCTAGTGGGACGGTTTTACGAGTACTTGCAAGGGTCCGCAGTTTGGCAATCTCCCAAACCCGGCAAAGTCCGTTCTGCTTGCAAAGCCAGATCATGCAGAGGAAGGCAAGAATTTGAATGTGGCGTGTCTTTCTCGATTAGAGAGCGAACAAATGCCTGCTCCAGATTGGGAAAATTTGAATGCACCAGCCTAATGGCCACAGCCAAAAAAAAGCTGAGAGACATCACAGCAAGCCTCCTGAAGAAGGTCATTACCAATGTAGCCATTGAGCCTGGCTTCCAACATGTCATTGGGGAACACTTTGCCCACCGCACTGCTATCGCCGATGAGCAGACCCAGCTGCACATAGCCGTCAACAGCATTTGGGCTGGTCGATTTGAGCGCACTGCCATAGATGTAGGACAGTAAGAGTATTTGACCATCATGCGTCCTCAAATCGTACCGCCTCACTTGCCTTGGCCTACGTCCGCCAGAAAAAGGAGTAGCGGCGAAAAGTATGAGCTACGGGTTCGGGACATCGAACATGCCTCATTTGTGCCAGCAGTTTTCTCTACTACTGGAGACATGGGTCACCACTGCAGCTCTGCCCTCTACATACGCATCGCCACCTTGACAGCTGAGAAGACCTGTGAGCCGTACAGCGTAGTCATGGCCTGAGCTAGGTGCCGCCTCAGTTTGGCTCTCCTGAGGTCGAGCATCATGTGTATTCGTGGTGCCCGCAACCTTCGATCCTGCGGTGATCCTCTCTCGCAGTAGTAGCAGAGGAAGCCATCCAGCAGCTGTAGAGACAGTGTAGCACATCCCCATGCTTATTAGTATTATTATTGCTAACGGATGGGACAGAGGCATTGTACAGACCCCGTGCATTTAGCACTTATCATCGACCATGAGCTACAAACCTATCGTCGTTGTCTGTTATTCTTGTTTTATTTTTTTGATCTTTCGAATAGATCCCGTGCATTGAGCACCTATCATCGAACATGAGTTATGTGCCTGTCGCCTGCTGTCTTACATTTATTTTGTACTCTTGTTTATTTTTGTTTTCCTCCCTGCCCACTCTGCCTGTCTTCTGGCACATGCGAATACGTGGACTTACTGTTGACGTAAACGCGGACGTGCGTATAATAATAATAATAATTGCTATTGTTTGTTTCAATATTTGCTCAGAGGTGGCTCCCCCCCCCCCACACCTTTTCATTAAGACAATAAAACCCGTATATGCCGTACTACGCATCCTAGTATTATTATTATTATTATGGTGTCCGGATTGCAAAAAAGGGCGCAACTCATCACGAGTAGACGGTATTCAAAGTTTCAAACCCTTAGCCTGGTGTGCACAGTGATGGTACAGCCTTACTGGTGTCATGCAGCAATGTACCAAAAGGTCCCAAACATGTGTTCCCTCCTCAATGATCTCTGAGCCTGGTAGATGTACAGTGCTGCTCAATGAAATCCAGTCGCGTCACTCAGTTTGCGCCTAGCATCATTTCGTAGCCCAGTGTTCGTAGGTCTAGAGCTGTGCAACGCCCGGCGCGGACTTGAGTGATACGACTGGATTTCATAGTGCGCACTACGCACTATTTGGCCAAAAACGTACCGTTTGTGACAACGATAAATCAGCCCCCATAACGGTTTTACGCTACAGCTTCAACGCTACGTGGGTGATCAAGGTACGAGTACTGTAAAAAATAAATAGCACTACCGTTGTATGCTAAGGGTGTCTAATTATAATTTGAGCTGAAAACTCGTGTTCTCACGTACCTTTTCTAACAGCATGAAACAAACGGAAGTGCAGTGCTCCTCTGTAGCTCGGGTTATGATGAAAAAAGGGAAAAAGTGTGCTGTGACCAGGATTCGAACCTGGGTTACTACGGCCACAACGTAGGGTCCTAACCACTAGACGATCACAGCATGCTACAGAGGCACACGATCCTAGGTGAAAACACCGGAGGTTATGAGAGAGTTACCAATGTACCTGTACGACAAAGCGTACAAACAAGAGTATAGCTCCCAAGAGTGTGCAGCTGTCATCACAAAAAGACTAAACACACAGAACAAGCAGTGCCGTGCCAGCAACCTGCTGCATCAAGACTACAGACTACAGATAGCATGCGATAACATACGATTTCAGATCGGACTCGAGCTCAGCCCGCAGGTCTGGCTTGGACATCTGAAAGCCCATGCTGTCATAACCTGGAAGCATACCATAAGAGAAGGAAGTGAAAAAGTAACAACACTAACAGTTAGTTCAACACGTGATAAAAATAACCCAAGCACAACAGAGAAGAGTCGTGAAGACTACCGAGAGAGAGCAAGGACAGTCGGCCATGCACACCGAATTGGAATCACAACAGGAGATGGCTGCAGTAGTGATTCTTTAAGCTTCACGGCTAGCCTATCAACACTCAGTGCTTTATGGGCTGTTGTTCCTTTGACCTATGCTCCGACACCAGGTCTATCACAGCATTTTTTGTGCCGTTTTTTGTTGTTGTTGTTGTCGAAAAGCTAAGTTTAGTGACTCTAGAAGGATCAGAAAAGTGCCCAGCAGACGGGAGTGCCCGCGTTCGGGGAGCTTTACTGCATTACACAGTACACACTCACTGCAAGAAAGACTATGGTCTTAAAAGAAAGCCGGTAACGTACCATCGACAAGACCCATGCCAAGTTCTCCAGGAACAAATGAGCCATCTGGCTGGACACCCACATAGAGCCGGTTCTTGATTGTCTCAATGTGCTCAGCGTGGGTTGCATCAGTGCCTAGAACAGAACAACATAAGATGGAAGAAGGAGAGACAGAACAAGCTGACTTGGATGAGCAAATATCCTTTCGTCAAAGCGAGTACTCACGTCGACTAGCATTCGTCCTTGGCTAAGGATGAGACGAGTATCCTACACAGCAACGGTGCATAATGAATGTGTGATAACGTGTGCACAGTACTACAACAGCACAGGTACCTACGGAATACTAACATTATTAATGTGTGCAAGTTCCACTGCAGCCACTTTATAAGCAAGGAAAACCCCACACCATCACCAATCCAAGTGGCCTCTTTGCTGCAAAATTAGATTGAAATTACGAATTTGTGCAGCAAAAGAGACAACGTGCGCCGGTGATGGCGTGGGGTTTCCGTGTTCTTAATACTAACGTTAAAGCAGTTTTAAAAGCTCTGAGCTAATTCTTCATCACTGACCGATGCCGTGTTTGTCCATAAGAGCGATCAAGTCAGCTTCCTTCAGCAACGGCGGTGCACTTGTCTCACCCTCGATCAGCTAAAACACACACACACACACACGCACGCACACACACACACACACACACGCGCACACACACACACAACAAAAGCAAACGGATGGGAGGGGCGGCATGGTCAAGAAACAGGCTGGTATGCAGGTTTACATTGACCGCAGAAAACACCACAGAGACGACACCGTCACCACCTTTGCCGTGTACTGTGGACACGGCCATATACAGTGAATATGGGAAAGAACGACATACTGCCTCTGTAACAACATTTCGCTGATGGCGACATTCCTTCATGCCCACAATTCTATGATACTGTGTATACAAATATGTGTGGATCTAACGACAACTTGGATAACGACAGTTCGAGAACGTCGACCCACTTTCGGAGCTCCGCTGTCTAGTTAGCATCCTGTGCTCACAAGGGACAATGCTGGGTGTGCTGTTGCAGAAGCAGTGTGGCATTTCGAGCAGGGTGATTGTCACTGGAGCGCCGTTCTACGCAATATTCACTAATTGAAGCGACTACAATCATGTACATGTACACCAAAGAGTAATAACAAAGTATAACGTACGTCTATGCTGGTCGGCTGAAAGGTGTCGTTGACTTCAAAGTGCTGCGGCATGATTCGATCACTCCACCGCTCGTACGGGTAAACGTCAAGGAAGTGCCGCTGCAGAATCTCCAGACCCTTCGCTGTGAACTTCTCCTCGGCGATCTCAATCTCGACGTTGGTCTCATGTCCTTGTGCGTCCTACAAATGCATACGCAAAAACAGCATACAAGCCGACATATGTATGCGTATTGCTAAAAGACGGGATCTGTGATCTGTGGCATAGTGGCACAGTGGTGACTTGCCAAGAACCTCAAGGCAGAATAAGTAAGCACACTTGTGCTGTACTTAAGTACTAAAACGTGCCATGGTTAGTAGAAGTATTCTAGTTCAACATACACACAACCATACACACCACCATACACACCACCATACACACCACCATGCACACCAATATGCACACTACATGCTGTGCCTCTCTGTCCAGTGCCCTGCCTTATGACTACGAGTACAACGACATGACAACACATTAATTCCTATGTAACACTGCTAAACAGTGCAAGAGAGACTATTAAAGTAAGGGCAATGCTGATGTTCTTATTCGTAGTAGTGCAATATCTGAATCTGAATGCAACGGAGTGAAGGAAGCAACTCTGTGTACTTCCGAAGTACTAAGGTCAGGCCAACATTGTTTTGGAACCCCTATCGAATTAGGTATCTATGGAAAGCTCAGGACGTCAGTACTCTAAAATTGGGGCTAAATGGGGAGGGGGCACACGTTGGTGTGTGTGCATGGGTGAGATATAGGAATTTTGAAGAAGTCACTTGGTACATGCGAGAAATGACAGACATACATGCAAGTACCTTTGACACGCATGCCAGGAAGTGACGCACCACAAACTCATACACCGTCTTTTCATTGCCCTGCAGCACAGCACACAGCACACAGCAGGCAGCACAATATAACCAAAACCAGCCAAAGGACAGAAGAGTAACAGCTAAAATCCAACACAGCTGATCTTCACAAATCCTATCACACTGTTGCACTAAGTCTTGCTTGGTTCTCATGAACTCTGGACATGCACAGTATAGACAAGCACACACGATGTACATGTACCAAACTGAAGTCAGACTGAAGAACAGAACATCTTTTGGTCCCTAGGAAACTACTTACTAGTAATAGTTTCCTAGGAGACCAAAATACGTTCTGCTCTTCAGTCTGTGGCATTTGATAAACTTTATCAAATCGGCGCAAAGTATGCCTGTCAAGGTTTGTGCAAAGCTTTCGAATTTAGTGGTCACGCCCGTACTAACTTTCGGGCAGGTACCAACTTTCGGGCACGAACTAACTTTCGGACCTGACTTGTATGCAGTAGAGAAGTCATCTTTCAAGTAGATATACATGTACATGCTACACGCTGCATGTGTGAAGCGCACCGGTACTTATTTCGGGCAGTATGTTTATCAGACCTAACTTGACTTCAGCAGAAGGAGTCAAAAGAATGAAGGGGTATTTACTATTTATTTTGGGCAGGTACTTATTTACGGACGTTTACGGTAGTTTGGTTTGTGGGTGCACTTATACCAACTAGGTGTGGGTGTGTTGCTGTGCAGGCGGGTGTGCGCAACCACCAGTAGAGCCACACACCCACACGTAGTGAGGACCAGGCTAGAACATTACAACGACGTACTGCCAAAGTGTTGGTGAACTTGGTTGGGTGAATGGGAGGATGGGCGTTGTCAGACTTGCGACCGTTGCGCGCATTAGGGCCGCCGTATACATTGAGGATGCGCTGCGCAAACTCTAAGCACAAAAACGAGAAAAAGAAACAGAGGAGTAGATACCAGTGCTGCATTGCACAGTGAGCATTTCAGTTATGTGTGCACGGGGAAAGGCTCTTCATTCCACACTCAATCCTCTAGTTGTATCACATGCCAGATGCGGTCAGTAAGTGTGTGAGGACAAGGTGCAGAAAAAGGATTGACGGCATCAGGGTATCCGTCCCGGGATCAAACTGCATTTACTGGTACCCCATGCCCCAGTGAAGGTAATACTTGCACACGCACACACATACACGCACGCAGCACAGGGCCTGTACCTCCCCACTGGTGATCCTGCGTCTGCATTTCCACAAGAGGCGTCAGGTTGAGTGACTTTGGAAAGATGTTTGTCTCGGTACGGGGATAGCTGATGAACCTGACACAAGCAAACATCAAAAACAGCGTCAGCACTCCTCTTCAACTTCAGGTACAGAACAACACAAAGTTACAAACACAAATAATCAACCATATCTGCACAGCATGTAAAAAGACTCAGTCTCTCTCGAATGTATAGCACAAAATCATCCTAGCCATAACAATAAGAACACGAGCCATGTCCAATGTAGTGTCACTAAACGTACTGCAGTTGTGGCAACCCAAATCTGACCTCACAAATAGAATAGAACAGGCCGGGGGGGGGGGGGGGGGAGGGGAGGGGAGGGGAGAGGAGTACATAACCAAGAGTGTGTAACTCGACGATCCCCCAGCCCGAGGTGGTTATGTACTCTCGAGGATATGCAACACTGAACACCAAGGCTGAGCCATGAATGCTGCATTGCTGCTGCAGTCACAAAATCGGAATCGTCTCCTAGTAGTAGCAGTGCACTAGTAGTGTATCATACATGTACATAGAGACCTCAGGCAATCTCACCCTGAAGTGTAGAGCTTCTCAGCCACGCGCATGGCCTCCTTGGCGTTGATACGCAGCTTGCGTGATGCCAGCTTCTCAAATTCCTACCCAAGCAGAATGTGTAATTGGCACGAAAACAGCAGAAACATTAGCTTAGATCACGGATAGATCTACCAGTCGCGGTACATGTACATGCACATGTACCGTATTTTCCGGAGTACAAACCGCACTGGAGGTGAACTACAGGCGTTTAAAGTGCGGCTTATACTCCGGAAAAATACGGTATACGGCTGCAGTCACATACACATCTACACTGGTATAGGTGAGTCCAGGTCACACAAGTACAATTATCACACTAGTACTTCACGTACAAAGATGTGGTACAGGGGATATCCCATATCCATGGGGTGTACTGAATATTCAGATGCACAGTTCTGGGTTCAATACTCTGGATAAGAAGTCTTACGTATGTATGGCATCACAGTGTACCCTGAGAGGTTCAAGTTTAAGTTGAATAATGAAGTACATGTATTGAATTACTGGTACATGTAGAGCGCACTGCACCCCCAGGGAGGAGAGTAAAACCTGGTGTAAGCGACCTCTGGGTTTAGCGACCACCTGCTCTTAATGACCGTTTTTCCATGCACCGACAGTTCTACACAGACACATGTGGGACCTGGCTCTAAAGACCACCTGGCTGAGAACGACCGCTTTTGCTTGCACAGTGGGGTGGTTGCTTAAACCAGGTTTTACTGTACTGCATAGTACTGCGTAGTGTACTCACCACTGTATCCAGAGCTACTGGCCGGTACTTGGTCGTATTGGACCCACGCACCGATGTCACTTTGGCTGTGGGTTGCTGCACATTCAGCATGGCAGGGAACACACACACACACACACACACACACACACACACACACACACACACACACACACACACACACACACACACACACACACACACAAAGATGACCTTCACTACCACAGTAGCTACAGAGCTGACAGGAATATTGCACAACTAATTACTTTCACAACCATCAAGAGTGGGCAGCCGTAGATAGGGTGTACGGCAGCAAAGTTTCAAAAAATCACGATGCATTTAATTTACAGCTACACCATAGCTCACTGGTTAGACGATCGCTGGCCTCAAGCAAAGGCCCCTGGTTCGAGTCCTGGTGGTGACAGTCTGTTCTGCGGCAGCTAGACACCAAACTGATGGAGCACCGAGACACTCGACGACCTCATACCTACATGTAACTCCAGCACATCTCTCATGTGCAAACCAACAGCCTTCCAACGTGCGCTGAAATTACCTTCCCCGAGACACTCCGACAGTTGTACTGTAGACCTGACAACAGCTCATGCACTTGATGCACACAATGTCATCCCACAGGTTAACCCTAGTTGCCCAAGTCACTAAAGCTATACCATACAGATAGCTATACCATACAGATAGCTATACCATACAGATAGCTATACCACACAGATAGCTATACCATACAGATAGCTATACCATACAGATAGCTATACCATACAGATAGCTATACCATACAGATAGCTATACCATACAGATAGCTATACCATACAGATAGCTATACCATACAGATAGCTATACCATACAGATAGCTATACCATACAGATAGCTATACCATACAGATAGCTATACCATACAGATAGCTATACCATACAGATAGCTATACCATACAGATAGCTATACCATACAGATAGCTATACCATACAGATAGCTATACCATACAGATAGCTATACCATACAGATAGCTATACCATACAGATAGCTATACCATACAGATAGCTATACCATACAGATAGCTATACCATACAGATAGCTATACCATACAGATAGCTATACCATACAGATAGCTATACCATACAGATAGCTATACCATACAGATAGCTATACCATACAGATAGCTATACCATACAGATAATATCTTACCTCCTGACAGAGTCCCAGGATGATTTCCGCCGGCAAGCGATGGAAGACACGAAAACTGCCAAAAACGCAGACACATACACAAGCACACAGGGCAAAGACCAACAGACAGATAGTGTCCAATAATACTCATAAAAAAGGACACACTTCAGGCTCTTTACGAACATCTTGTGCATCTCAGCATAGTGTCCAATGCTTGCACTTTCGTCACGAGAAGCATTCAGTGATATATACACACACTCACGCATACCCCCCAAACACCCACCCACCCGTCACAATGACCATTCCTTCCATTTACTTGCCATGTACTAGCATTGCGTGTTACTATTTTGGCATACTGTAAATAGAGAGCGTGTGTGGGCAGGCGTGTTTTTACCGCCATATCGCCAGGTGTGTCTTTACCACCATATTTATCAACCATAAGTACAGCTGCAGTGGTGTCTTCAACTTCATTCTCCCGAGTCAAGCTCCGTATGAAGACATCCAAGAAGAAGATTGCCTGATGAGTCCAGCGGGGACGAACGTACGTCGCAATCGAGCTATGTCGTTGCTGTGTCATCTTCTATGTGCCATGCGCTACTTGATGTACCAGCCTGCTATACCGGATACCACCAACCATGCATCGACCAGGCGCCAGGCGCAAACTGATGGTGGTGGTGGTGAGAAGGAGAGCTCTGTGCCAGAACTTTGCAGCCTAGAGAGCGTGTGTGGGCAGGCGTGTTTTTACCACCATATTGCCAGGTGTGTCTTTACCACCATATTTATCAACAATACTGTAAATAAGTATATGTTATCGCATGGTTGCAAGGGCCTTATGGCATATTATTGCCCCGAGAGGTTAGCCCGAGGGCCGTAGGCCCGAGGGCTAACCTCGAGGGGCAATAATATGCCATAAGGCCCGCAGCAACCATGCGATAACAAATTTATCACATGGCCCACAGAGCAGACCATTGGGCTGCTGTTGAAATTAGCCCAAATGCCAACACATTATGACCACAATGTATATTGATGTGCTATCATTATCAAAACAGGAAAAATGAAGATATTTCTCCTACACCCTAACAAAAGGTCTGCTACGGGCCATCAGAGAGTATACAGTACTGAAAGACGGAGACAGAAAAAAAGTGCCGGCACCGCATCGTCATAGCAATAGACATGGCAACGACAATAAAATACAGCAGAATCATAATTTCAGTTGAAAAATTAAGAGTGCTACCACAAAGAGTTTCTTCATGTTTACATGTGTATCAGGAAGTTGTCAAATACAGTACTGCAACAAGTGCAAGGATTTGTCGACTCCCTGGTGTGTAATTCTGAGGACAATTTTTCTTCTTTTTTTCAGCTCCAGATATAGCTGTATTTTTCATTGCAAAACATTCCTGAATTGTTGTGTTTGTTGTTCAAGCAAAGGTGAAGGCAGAGGACAGATGAGCCTGGTAAGAGTTTTGCGTGGCACATGAAGACCACACACAGGCAGTGACTTTGCGAGGATTTGAAAACGCACGACGCTGAGTTGAATTTGTGTTATTTCAAATAATTGTTTGTGATCACAGTACCACTTCGAGCAGAACTGAATCTTATCCACAAGCTTACCGACGGTCAGGCTGCCAACATGACTGAACAAATGATCCCTGCAAGCACCACACGGCAGACGTCCGAGGCCATGTCCATTGCCGGGATGTCCATCTCCATCTTCGTCTCAATGCTACACTGCGACTCGTCGTAGAGTCGTACAGTCTACAGAGTCGTCGTAGTCACGCGATCACTGAAATAAACTATTTTTTTGCGGGCAATATCGCATATTATTGCCCGCGGCGCGAAAGGTGCTGATTCGCTGGAGTACGGGCAACAATCACGTGCCATGTGATAATACTAAAATTAATAATAATACAAAATTTCGGCATCTCACGGTTTTTGACATATCAGCAAGTATTTATTTTCGGCACGGGTTTAGTACATCACCAAAGCCGATGTGAACAATTTCATCTGTGTTTTATTTTCGGCACTTTGGGTCGGTGCCGAATATAGCCGAAATAATAGCTGCCGAAATTTTGTATATTGACAGTAGTATCCAGATAGTGTGTGAGCAACGGGTACACTGATCAGTCAGCTTAATTTACCCAATCTACTGATCTACTTACCGCTTCCAGGCAAACTCCATGCGCCCTCCTTCAGTCTCGTATGTCACTGCAACGCACGGTGGCGGGACAGAATGGAGCAGGCCACACGAGACAAACAGATGAGCAAAGGCACACACAGGGGCTGGGACGCAACGCACGCATCTACAGTGCTAGCAATGGAAAATAAATCCAACCCCATGAATATACTTCAAAAGAGTAACGTCCCGGAACTGAGATGCAGATGCAGCGCTGCACTGGGCTTGTGTGCATACATGTGTATGTGCCCGGATGGGTTTTAAAGTGACACATGCATGCACCGATCCCCTTCCATGACAGAAACCAACAAAAACCTCTCACCTTTTAGCTTGAAGAAACCTTCTGGTATGAATGCCTGCACTTGCTTGTACTACGCAGAAGAAAACGAATGCAGAAAGGGAAATGGTCACAAAAACAAAGTTCACTGCAAAGTACGTTGAGGTAGTCTACAGCAATGTACAATGCGGTACACACAGTAACCATGGTAACAGAGCTTGCTTGGCTGTGCACTGCTATCCAGTACAGTAGGTATCGGAGATGGCGTGGGTGTCGAAAACGGCTTTTATTCCTTCAGTATTTCCAATATTTCTTACACACGATAAATCAAGTGTGACATAATTATCACATGCAATGTTCCCTCGAAAAATGTTATGATTACGAAAATATGACAGTTCATTCTTGAAGGCAGTATATTCTTTTACACGACCACACTATAACCGATACACACTGTTACTACATGTGCGTGTGCGTGTGTGTGTATGTATGTGTGTGTATGTGTATGTGTATTGTGTGTGTGTGCGTGTGTGTTCTTCGTACGCAATGCGATACTGGCTTGTACTGTAAACCAACAGAATTGCAGCTCAGTAAATATTTGCCACGGGGCACTAATGGGCATTTCAGCACCACTCACCCTGTCAACAACGAATCCAAGAGTTGGAAATTGACACGGGCCTGCCAGAAATGCACAGAAGAAAAGTGGATAGGCCAAGCAGATACAAACAGGAAAACAGATGGAAATAGAAAGAGAGAGAGAGAGAGAGAGAGAGAGAGAGAGAGAGAGAGAGAGAGAGAGAGAGAGAGAGAGAGAGAGAGAGAGAGAGAGAGAGAGAGAGAGAGAGAGAGAGAGAGAGAGAGAGAGAGAGAGAGAGAGAGAGAGAGAGAGAGAGATTCAGATGTGTATCAGACACGTCAGGCAGACATGTGTGTGTGCGTGCATGTGTGTGTGTGAGTGAAAATTGAAAAAGCCCAAGGTCCAGCCACACAAGGGAAGTGCCTCACTCGCGTACGGGTCTACCTGTGTGTATTTGACATTGCGCGGAGCATTTTTTTCCTCTGTGTTGTGTACATGTTGCTGAGCAAAATGCAAAATACAGTACGGACGGGCACTGAAGAACGATGTGCCGAAGAAAGAACAGGCTAGAAATTTGCCAGTCACATGATACCTGCCTGTACATGGTGGCTCAGCCATGTATAGAGATTTTTAGATGAAGAATTTAGAACGGCCTAGGCCATGACTCTGAACCCCCAGTTCTTTGGCACCAGACTTTAAGGGGTAGTCGCAAAAGCTTTTTGTCGTTCCTGAAACTAACAGCGTTCATTTCGTACTCGGACCCCTCCCTCCCTCTGAAATGAACGCAGCGTGCTATGCTGGACATAATACAAAACGTGCAACCCGTGTGACGTGTTCACTTGGGTACACAGCTACACGCGCTCACGTTCACGTCAAATAAAAAAGCACACTTTCCCTATGCTTGGAAACTAACTTTCAGATTGAAGTGAAGTTAGTGCGTCCACAATTCACGGATCCTACTTAGATTCGGAATCAAGCCAAACCAGGTGTGTTGGTATGAGAGATCGTGGTGCTTCAGCGCATGAGTACAGTTGTGACGCAAACAAGTGACATTATATTGAAGTATTGAAGGCGACGTGCAGTGAGCTGAACCAAAATCACAGTTGCATACTCTTGATTCGGCACTATTTGCCTATGAACTCTTGCTACAATAGGCACAGTACGGTGCTCCTGTGTAAAAAAAAGAAAAGAAAAAAAGAGCGTGCTCCCAGCAGGGCTCGAACCTGCGACATTCGCGTTATTAGCACGACGCTCTAACCGACTGAGCTATGGGAGCTCACGTGAGCAATTTGAAACAAGACATTCTATCATCAAGAACAACTGCATAGCAAGTGTGTGTGCATGCGTGCGTGTGTATGCATGTGTGTGTGTGTGTGTGTGTGTGTGTGTGTGTGTGTGTGTGTGTGTGTGTGTGTGTGTGTGTGTGTGTGTGTGTGTGTGTGTGTGTGTGTGTGTGTGTGTGTGTGTGTGTGTGTGTGTGTGTGTGTGTGTGTGTGTGTGTGTGTGTGTGTGTGTGTGTGTGTGTGTGTGTGTGTGTGTGCAGACAGCATTTTATCTTCGACAGATAAAAGGCAGGTTGCTCACCATAGCTGATGACTTTTTGATGTCCGAGAGTGCCCGCAAACACACGTTTCAAGTGCATAGTTTGGAAGCGTGTGAAAGCGCAGCCTGTTAGCAGAAACACGACAGAGACATGACACACACACACCAGCCAAGTATGATAGGAAAAGAGGGTGGATGGAAGGTGAAAAAAAGATAAAGTATCTGCTATCCGAAGTTGCACACTTTTCTGCAGTTTCGTATCATTCATTTTGTATCATTTTGTATCAGCCTCGGAAATGATGTTTCCTCATTTATATAAGACAGTGTTTTCGCCCAGACCCCTGTACAAGACAACCCGTTATAAGACCATTTTTTTCTCCATCAGATCCCCTTTATAAGACAACATGAAACAGCGATCAAGCTATCAATGGCTATTTGCGTTGTATTGTAATAAGGGAATCGAACCTGTAGGACAGCTAAAGGTGAAGTTCTAACGATGCCTAGAAACGAATTATCTCTTATCCAGACCTGCATGTAGGACTACGCAATGCATTTCGTCTGGGGATTTTGGATGGTTGTCTACTAATGAGGTATGTCTTGTAACCGATGTCGTCCTAACGAGGGTAGACCTGTGTAAGGCAGTAGCCCAGTTTAAAGTTTAGCCAGGAACAAACTTTCATCGGCACGGCACGTACCGATACGAAAGTCCAGTTCTTGCCTAGCCTCCACGGCCTGTGCCATGTCATCATCAATGCGACCGAGCTCACGGCAAGCTCGCTGGATGGACCTGCAAGTGTGCAGCAGTCAAAATGTGCACGTACACAAAGACACACACACACACACACACACACACGCACGCACAAACACACATACACACACAGGGTGCACGAGTGAAATTAGTTCAGCGTTGTAGAATCAGCATCCATGGTTCAAGATAGCACCCTATGCCATGGCTGCATACATACCTGTAGTGTCCAGTAGCAAATAGAAATAGTACAACGCCTAGACGCTTACAGCAGTATGGTAGCACACATACGACACATAGCTCAAAGGAATACATACCGGTAGACCCTTGGGCCCTTCCTTGCATGTGCCCAGACAATAGAGGCTCCAGAAAAGAACAAGCTTCAACCTTCTCACAAGCAACATTTTCGAATTTTTTCCACAAGTACTTTTGACACCTCCCCATCAGGCGGAACACAAACAAAAAAGAAATTGAACGGCACAATGAATGTTATACAGCAGAGAGGTGATGGAAACAGCGCAAAGGAAAGTAGCCAGAAACAACACGGTAAATCATACCCAAATACACATACAAATAGAAGGTCCACTGGTCGCCTATTGTTGTCGCAATACATCACACGATTGTTAGGTGTCTTCACACTTGCACCCTTTTGTCATTCCTTCTATGTGTAGAGGGGACGGCTCGATACCGGGACGCTTTGACAGCCAAATTTGTATAGACCCAAACCGATCATCAGCGTTGATTTTTCACTCGAAATATGTTTGTGGAAGGAAACTGGCATGTTGAAGTTTGCTCTGGGGCCAGAGTCAATCGAACTGAGCCACTCCTTTGTGTTGACCCATTGCCTCCAAGTTGCCCAATTTTTCGCTTCAAAAAAGTTCAAATCAGAGGTGGCTCCAAACCGGACACGTTTTAGAGTGCACGTCAAATTCACTCTGGGTCTGAAATTAGGTAATTGCTATCGCTCCACGACGGCCAGTACAGAATAACAATAAGCCTTGTGTGTGCTTCCATTAGTTTTGATTGGTATGCGGTGCTTTATTAGCGAGAGGCGAGCCGCTGTTTACCTGCGACAAGAAGTTGATTTTTCGAAAGTCGTAAAACTCAAGTCGCAGTGCGAAGCAACACGTCAAAAACTCACCTGCTTGGTATGGCGCTTCTGGTCATCACAGAGCCATGAAATTTTGGCTCGGAGTATAACACATCGTAGTCTCACTGTGACATATGTTTTCTAATCAAAATACCAAGAGAGAAAGTGAATATTGAGTCCGTTCCGGTTTGCAACCTGTGTCCTATTTGAAACCGTCCCCTCTACAAGGTTACATAATACCATGTTGTTTCAGGCTACTCTTCTCTGCGCTGTTTCTATCACGTCTCTGCTGTATAAGATTTCATTGTGCTTGCTCAATTCCCTTTTTGCTTGTATTCCACCTGATGAGAAGGAATCGAAAGTACTTCTTGAAAATTTCAAAAAAGGTTGCTTGTGAGGAGCCTGAAGCTTGTTCAGTTCTTGAGTGCGATTGTATTTTAGCCTCCTAGAAGAGGCTGCTGTTCATTATGTCCAGGCCGAGGCCTAAACGCATCATGCTGCTATGTTAGTACATGGACTGGAATGCAGCTCTGTGGTGCACAAGGCCCACAATGAACAGTTTACTGGTCTCTAGTGACATGTACTGTAAAACGGCAAATTTTAGCGACTTCAGCGAAAGGAGTGTTTTCGCCAATGTTTTACCGCACCAATCGAAAATGTGCATGTACAGTACAGTACAAGTCATCCTTCTTTTCAAAGTCTCAAACTCGGATCGCAAAAATATTTCATCGTGAATTGGTACAGATTCAGAAAACGCTAAACATTTTACCCGCTAAAATTAGCCGCTCTACAGTAATCTAAACAGGTAAGAATGCATGTTGCATTCCATCATTGATCCAAAGATGCACCCATGCTGAATGCAATTGAAATTGGCAGCCTAGGAGCAAACCCCACATCATTCCAAGTTCCACTTGCCTGTGTTCTCTACCTAGATACTACAACTTCCTGCCGGTTTGCCACCACTCTGACATATTGGTGTTTCTTGTAATTCACTACTCATAACGGTCATTGGAGCTGGTAATCAGCTACTTACACTGGAGTTATTTCGGAGAAGCGAGCCCGGTACACGTCAATGTTTCGTTTAGCTAAAGACAGAAATCCAGAATGAGAAACAGGCAGCCAACAACAAATCGAACCAACATCGCGTGTGCCGGGTGTACAAAGACAGACGTCTGTACAGTGTAGCAAGTCAGCATACAATAAAAGGCTATAGCAGTGCTTTCACTGACTTGGAACATGAGAACCAGTGTCATCCACGACTGCTAGTTATTCATTCAGTCCAGCTATACATGTACACTATAATGAACGACACAGAGTATTAGCTGTCTGATGATTGCCTATGGGCATGAACCTTACAATGAATGATGCGTGGTGCTCTGTGTCGTGTGTAAGATAGTTCTATTCGAATGAATATTGAGCACTCTACTGATCCGGAGGACTCTCATTAATTTGTACACTATAATGCACGGTTGCACGGTCCGTCTAACATGGTATAACCTACAGCAGCACTTCCCGATTATCAATGCAAGTACCAAAAAGTACTAAGAGAGCGCTGCAACACCAATATCTCGTATTTTAGGCGAGGAGCGGGTGGCTGTAGGCCACATATGTGCACTCAATCTGCACGCATTTCACCTTCGAGCGATCGCAAACATCGCACAAGAAGAGTGGACTCGAATGGCACCATCATGGCGCCGTGTCTCCCCCTAGGGCACCCTTGTGTTCCTCATCGTATGGCCATAGTTGCACTCATATTGTCATTTCCCTGCCTGTAAAAAAAAAGGTGGGATGTGCTGAAGGTACTTTACGGCACAAGCAGCAACGTACAGACGTGAAGCACAAAACAAATTCAATCACCATACCATGGCCGTGCACCTGGCATTTGAAAATGAGTAAGGGTTCGGAAAGGTTAGTTAGTAACACTTTGTCAAAGAGAGAAAACGGCGAGTCACAATGAGACTCCCTCAACAAGCATCTATTTCCCTACATATATTGCATCACAGGACATGGGGGTATTTCCCTACATAGGCATCACCAGAAATTGGCGTACTAGTACCGTAAAATCCCTCCAGAGCGCTCCGTCTCTCCCATCCGCCCCTCCCTGACTTCTTGTCAGGGAAGTGATTGGTTGTATCCTCGTATAACTCTGTGATGCCGTACTGTACTGCAGACGCGTGCTCGACCCCGTTGGAAATATATGCAACAGTGCCCACCCTCTTGGCCAGGGATCGCACAAACCCTGAGTTTTGATGGGTTTGTACGACTCCTGGCTCTTGACCTTTGGTCGGTGTACGAGATGCACGAACAGTATTCGTAGGGTGAGTACTTTTTCATGTAGTACTGAATGCGGTAAGTAGGACTCGCCCATCCGCCCCTCCCCATCTGGACCTACACACACACACACACACACACACACACACACGAGCGCGCGCACACACACACACGCGCGCGCGCGCACACACACACACACACACACACACACACACACGTGACACACACACACAGAGTATTGCAGCAGGACACACATACCTGCCTTGCACACCGAGGCAATCTCAAACGCAATGTTCTCGCCTTCCCTATCACCGTCAGTCCACAGTACAAGACAAGTACACCGCTTGATCTCCTGCTCCAGGGTTTGCTAAGGTACACATGGACAAACAGATGTGCATCGATACAGAGATAGGTTACAATTCTCTCTCCCTCTCTCTCTCTCTCTCACTCAACCCACACACACTTACTTTTATCCCCTTCATATTCTCTGGAACATACTTCGTGATCGGGCAGTCAAACAGATTCAGAGGCTGGCATCCATGCCTACAAAAAAAGAGCAAGAAAAATCGAATCAAATTAAAAGGTCGTTTGAACTCATTTCGCCATTAGGAAACAACACCATAAACAGCTACGGTGTTAACTTAGAAGTTGCGACTTCGGCGGTAATAGTCATGAAGTTGATCGTTCCAACTAGGAACAATCAGCTACGGTGTTGTTTCCTTTAGTGTAGAGGCTCGCTGCTGCTGCTGCGACAGCTCGAATCATTGAGAAGGCATCCATTGTATGGTCACAGCATACTCGTTGAAAGAATACACAAAAGAATACACAGAACAGAGAGTGAAACTACCGGAGACTGAGCCCATGGTGAAGCCTATTCGTTCAGGTGATAGTGATTCTGACTCCTCTTTGCTGCAGCTCACACCGCCTTACTTGGCTATCTTGCCGTATCACCTAGGCAATTTCCATCGAGCATGTTGCTGCTTGTCGTACAAGAGGCAAACATACCCATGTAGTTCCCGCTATCACCTTAGTCATACTGTAAGTCAACTAATATCCGGCCCATATCTATTTTTGACTATTTTCTGCATGGGCATTTTTGGCAGAAAAATTTGTTGCGGCTGAAATTTTGCTCTGGAAGGTTCAGTGTGACAGTGTATACATGTATACAGGCAGCAGTAGTACAGGCCGAAAAGTGTTTTGACTTTTATCCCTGGGTGGCTGACATTTGAAGGTGCCGAAAGTGTGTAGACGTACAGTATGGTGATTTAGCACTACAACTATGGTGTGAAAAGGTATCCTACAATTCATGATGACCTAAACAAGAAACAACTTTGCCCTGGGAGTCGTTTTACTCAGGATACATGTGGAGTAGCATACTCTGGTTTATGTTCTCATTTTTTCTTCATTATAGGCATAAACCTGGCCGCTTGTACTGAAGGTGATGTACAGCTTAAGTTTACGGTAGTAATGCTGACAACACGGAAGCAATGTTTATACGTTTACCCACCATTGGCGGAAAGCGCCGGCAAACTCCATTTCCATGAGATGTCCAGAGACTGAGGTCATCACCATGTCACAATCCTGCATGAGCAGTGCGCAGCACAGACACACAGACACAGACACACACACACCATGGTTGACGGTGAGCGGCTGCAGGAAACGGCACTCATTCCCTGGCACACACAGTGAGCTAAGGAGACACAATGTTGAGGCTCCTGAGTATTACAATGGTTTGGAATACGGTTTACTTGCCTCATTCAACAAGCGCATCTGCCATTCATAGATTTTGTTGTATTTAGAGCGCCCTTCTCTCTGTCACGGACAACCAAGGACACACAGGCGGGCAAACACGAGCGTGAACATACACACACACACACACACACACACACACACACACACACACACACACACATGCACACACAAACACACACACATGAGAACACACAAACTTGCTCACTGTCAGAAACTGGTCTCGGGTGTCCTCAGGAGAGGGGAGAGATTCAAAATCTTGGAAAGAGGAATCAATTGGTCATTGAACCGCCCAAAGGTCAACGCCCCTGTGGATAGGTGTGCATTGCAGGCGCGTAGCTGGCAGTGTTTCCAGGTTGCCCGGAAACCCCCTCCGCGGTTTTCAGCGCAGACGCCGAAACCTTTGAAAACTACAGTGAAACTCTCCTGAGTGCATGCATATACAGTCACCGGATGTAGAAAGTGACAGTGCGGTGCATGCTGCACGCATGCACTTGACTTGAGTGAGGCGTGAAATTATGTTACTATCACGAGTGCTTCGTCCGCACCAGCTACATGTACTGGTAGCTGGACAACTACGGTCGTTGTAAAAGTTCTCTTTCTTGTTGAGAATTTTAGAGGTTGTCCAGAATTTTCGCAAAATTAAAAAATCCAAAAATCCGTCCTCAAGCAAAAAGGTGGGTGGGTGGTCAAGAACGCTGGCGGAATTATTTTTTTCATTTCTCATACACTTGTTGCACTGACTGTATAGTGTACTGTAGTGTAGGGTCGATTGTCGCAAACACCAGTATGATGTAGTTGTAGGACGTGCATGGACTTTGGTAGACCTACTATACTACAGCCCTGTCGGCCGCCGAAGAACTGGGGGGTCAGGGCTCTAGCCTAGCCCGTTCTTATTTTTAACGAACACAGCAGTTTCGTTCTTATTCGATGGTACAGTCTTACATGTACATTTATGCAGAGTTATACGTCTGAGTGTACATGATAGTGTATATTACGGTTTCCGTGCAATATCTGCAAAATATCCAGCCTACGCCGTTCTTAAAATTAGTGAAATTCTAGCCTGGCCGTTCTTCGGCGGTCTGTTCTTCGGCGGCCGACAGTACTGTACTACTAGCACTTGACACAGGTGCAGTCAGTGAACCTGGGGTGAGGTGTTCTTGTTTTCTAGCTGGGCATTGGGAAAAATCAAAAAATTAATGGGAAAAAGGGTGGGGGGGGGATGGGTGGTGGGGGTCAGAGACAATTTAATATCCACGAGGACGGATTTTTTAATCTTTCCATAATTACGGACGACCCCTTCATACAAAAATCTTAGATGCGAATGAAGTCAATGAACCACAACACATTGACAATACACGTACTTCAGTAGTAATGTAAAGTCCCAGATTGGGCCTCTCAGAAGCTTGGAATCTGAAGATACCCTAAAGCTTTCAAGGGGACAGATACCCCATGTCCCATTTTTCCACTTTCCAATATTGTCTTGCCACGCTAAATGCAAGGTATGGGGCGAATCCCCGACTTCGCCCCAGACATTTGTGCCTTTATGAACCATCCAATCGTGACTTACGACTGCATTTTCATGAAAAACATTTTTCACAGGGGGCGCGCAAACAAAGTAGGGGGGGGGGGGGGGAGGGGCTGTGCTCCCCTACCCCCTTTGGCTAGAACCCTGCATATATGTGTGTGTGTTGTGTGTGTGGCATATGTGTGCGTGTGTGTGTATGTGTGCACAAGTTGCTATGTCTAACATAGCCGTGTTCGCTATCATCGCTTCCGAGATGGGCAAGTCTGAGGTATGTTGTGCGTGACATGCGTGTGTGTGTGTTGTTGTTGTGTGTGACATGTGTGTGTGTGTGTGTGGGGGGGGGGGGGGGGTGTACGTGTGCAGATGTTCAGAATTTAGTCACTACAATGTAACTTGGCCAGGAAATGTATCCGAAGAGCTGATCCAAGTTCATTTGGGTAAAAATGGATGTTTGAACAGCATTAAAACCACGATACATGTATCTTGTGGCTCAAACTGAGCTCAATCCCGAATGCAGTGAGATTTTTCCTCGGTCAGAACTTTGCCAAAGTTGAAAAAATCTGCACTCTGAAAGAACAGATGAATGGCTTAGAGGAATCAACTCGAACCAGCTCAAGGGCCTACTTTCCAGGGGTTTTTCTTAATTTATCTTACACGTCGTGATCGTCCGGCTCCCATGACATTAGCAAGTGCCTTGGCCGCGTCATTTTTCTCAGCCACATTCAACACTTTCATGTTGAAATCTGCTAATGGTATTCTTTCTTCAAAGTACTTGCATGCATTGTGAGCGCGATGCCAATGGCAATGGTTCCGAAGGCTCTCATATCCCGCAGCTCGTGTTCCGCGTACGCACTTCCAAATGAACAAGACAAATTATACTGTCTGTATCAGGATCTATTAAACTAAAGTCTTTAAAATCAAGCAAGACCCTTGTCTTTCTTTCAGTTTTCGGGCACCAAGATTTTTCAATCTTGTAGTTGTAGTAGTAACTTTTTTTTACTTGTACTCTTGCAGTTTGTTCCGTGAACCAGTTACCTGCAGTGCAAAGCTTATGCACGTGTCGAACAGTTGAATGCTTCGAAAAAGAACACTCTCCCGCCAAAAAGCTACACATGACGTAATAAATGTACCGATTATCGCGGTGAGCTGAGACGGACCGATCGCCGGCCGACCCAACTAGTACCAGTACGGACGGTACGCGGTAGGTCTACGTATGAACTACTGAGTACTGTATCAGGCCAGCGACGACAGTCCGACGGAGGACTCTGCTGCGAACACTGCCTGGCCTGCACTGCATGCACTATAAATATGATGGTCTATCTATGATCTATGTCACAGATAGGATAGAAGACAAAATTCAACAAAATTGCATAATGATTGGGTATGACTCTACGAGACGTTCAAGACGAGTTTGAGCTAGCTCCACAGATTACCGTAATCCAGCAGATCACCGGGACACTAGCAGGTGACTGCACTGTCTTAGCCCCCCCCCCCCCCCCCTACAAATGCATGCCATGGCAGGAGTAAAGTAAAGAAGTAACAGAATGGCTCAGACCACGCAGTGGTTGCCAGCTATTCTGGATTATGCTGATGAATGTGATGTCGAACATATCAATTCGCGGCCGCATCACCTGATGTGTTTAGGAACACATCAAGCAAAATACATTCACGTCGGCAGGCCACCACTTCGCCCATATATCCTCAGCGTCAAACGCAGACCTCACAAGTGAGTCAGGGGAGAGAGTCTTTCAACAAATGAGTGGCACAATAATTCACACTTCACAGAAATAATTGCCAAAAGCTATCACAAATGCAAACAGCACTGTGGGCTCCATTCTTCGGTGCCTGGCAGAATATGGCATGCACGGCCCGTTTTTGTCCTGTAAGCATGCAACTCAAGGACTCTCCCCACCCCACCTTTTCTACAGATGGGATAATGGTGACAAGTACCGTAAAAGCCCCTGTATACGCCCACCCTCCGTGTACATGCCCAGTCAGGGGAAGACAACACTTTTGTTTCAAAATAGCACCCATGCCCATGTATACGCCCAGGTATGCGGAAACACCAGTACATGTACAGGTACTGATACCCAATACTTACTGCTACAGTCAGACCTCGCATAACCGCACACATCCGTTTTCCACAAATATATCCGGATAGGCGAGGGAACGGGATAATCGAACACACATACTGTATGTAAGCATGGCATATGCTGTACATTTGTAACCAACTATTTTCTTCCGGATGGCGAGGGATCCGGATAAGCGAGGTCTGACTGTATCCCTATTCCAAAATAACGCCCGTGCCCTTGTATGCCCAGCAAATCGAGGCTGCTATTCTATACGCGGGGGGGGGGGGGGGGGGGGGGGGCTATACACGGGCTTTTACGGTATGGGACACCCACTAAAAATAACCATCCAACAGTGACAAGAACACAATTGTGGTATACGACTGACCAACTCAACTATGGATCTTTTTCATTGATCAGTAGAAAAACAAAGACATGGATCAATCACATGAGCACTGTAAAAGTTGAAAAATATTTTATATCAGATAATTATGATGGACTCGAAAGCATGCTAGTGTGTCCAGGTTGGGGCGTGATGCGCTACCACTCAAGTACGCGACCAAAGTTGCATGATGTAGATGTGACACACCGAAAATCTATCATTAGAACCTACCCGTACAAGGTCCAGGAAGCACGCTACATGCATACGGGTGTACGGGTATAAGCAGCAGATATTTATTGCATGAATATCAGTAAGCCACGAGCAGCTTATGCCCGCTCGCCACGGATGCGACGTGCCAGCTGGATGTCCTTGGGCATGATAGTGACACGCTTAGCATGGATGGCACACAAGTTGGTGTCCTCGAAGAGGCCGACCAGGTAGGCCTCGCTTGCCTCCTGCATTGCAAAAAGCACAAGAGAAGGACACAGATCAGGGAGTGCACAGAAAAAAGAAGAAGAAAATCACCAAATATGTGCCAAATCCCATGACCTGAAGAGGCCGATGTCCACCACAGATAACGCGACTGGGGTGGTAACGGTGGATATAAGTTCAACGTTGCTTTTTCCGTTTCCTTTCTTGCTGAGCGATGCTGTATGATTGTGTGCGTGTTCTGAACATCAGGTTCATGTGCAATTTGATGCTGTCTTCACATGGATGTGACCGCTCAACATTTTCGTTGCATGTCTTTCGTACACTACCTGACACACATCATCCAATAGGGAACTGCTTCTCAGCAAGTACCTAACATTTCCGTTCATTTAGCCAGATCTTTTGCCCTCATAGTCATACCAAATTGAGTACCTACAATATTTTGAGTACTTCTTGTGAACAATTAAACCAAGAGTACATAACCACTCTTTCTACTGTACTGTGATTAGCACTGCTAGTACAAGTACTTGAGGTGGAACTCTCTCTTTGCCACTTACACAGTTGCGCAGCCCACGCACAACTGCTGACACCCACAAGTACGAAAGTAGTATATCAAGAGAACACAACCACCCTCCCCCCCCCCCCCACGATGTGTAGAAGGCAAAGGACGTGGGCCACGTCATTGGTACATGACGATGATTATGTACATGATGTGACATGATGTTATGTACTCTTCATAGCATGTATGGAAGACTACGTGTGATTGTACAAAGAGCAGAGCGATGCCCAGGAGAGTCGGAGCAGTCAATACTCTACAAACTACAGATACAAGTAAACACTGACTACTGTGAGGGTGATAAAGCGGGGTTCTGCTCTACGGCACTCCACAGATGAAGTGAATAGGGATTGGCATACACGGACAAGAATGGTATTCACTCAATCTGTGGACAGAACTGGGTGGACTCCTAAGAGTCATAGTGATACGGGCAGCATAGACAAAATGAGGCCGAAAATGACGGGAATAATATTTTCACAACCAGTTTAAACTATAATGTAGGCCCAATCGTACTGGTATTTTATAATCCCCAAAAGCTACGCAAAAGACGTTATTATGCAAGCTCAGCAAAAGACTTTACGATCAGAAGCGTCAGGCGATGGCCAGTGTCCACAGCGCTATATTACTAGTACATGTATGTAGTCTTGTAGAACCAAGAGTTTACTCGTGTGCAAATTACAGTATCTTCGTCAAAGTATAAGAAAGCGAGCACAGCCTTTGAAACAAAGACTTAGACGATCAGACTAACCTGAAGAGCACCAATGGCTGCCGACTGAAAACGAAGGTCAGTCTTGAAGTCCTGAGCGATTTCGCGAACAAGACGCTGGAAGGGCAGCTTGCGGATAAGAAGCTCAGTGGATTTCTGGTAACGACGAATCTCACGAAGAGCGACAGTACCAGGACGGTATCTGTGAGGCTTCTTCACTCCACCAGTTGACGGAGCACTCTTACGAGCAGCCTTGGTGGCAAGCTGCTTCCTTGGAGCTTTTCCTCCAGTTGACTTACGGGCAGTTTGCTTTGTTCTAGCCATGATGACACAGAAACAGCTTTCAGAATTTGCTTTTTGAACCTCTCAACGACTTCAGCAATGAACAACTAACCAAAGTGTACTGTACACACAACACAAACGTCGAAACGAGCCGGCCTACGCAAGCTGGCAAAATGATTTCGCTCACGTGGAAATGATTGATTTTCAAGACCTCTGATTGGTCAAATCTCACCATTTACGCTGGAAGGTTGCTGATTGGCCAAAATGTGTCACGCAAAATCTCATTTTTCTGATGAAGCTCTGCAACAGAATCAAGCAGGGAGTAGTCAAGTACCGGTATTTTACTACTCCCCTCCAATCGAGAAGTGGCAAAAGAACTACGCATGCGCATGACATCATGCACATCTTTCCATTACATCACACACTTCATGCCGCGCAGAAATGCCCGCGCGGCGCGCGCCGCGGAAGCTAGCGGCAGGCGCATTTACCGCGTACCGACGGTACGCGCGGTACGAGTACGATCGAGGGGATGGGACGCGTACGATCGTACGACGTACATTACATGCACAACAATTAAAAAAGGGAACTCCACGAAAAAATGAAAATTTGATAGCCTGTAGAGTTCCGGGCGCGGCGCTGAGTCGAATGGTCTTGGTCCGAAGTCTCTACGAGAAAGCGTTCTTGAGATATTTCAATTTTAGCCACGCCCCATACCAATGTATGTGTGACGTCATTGTGGCAATGTGCGAAAATACTTGGATTTTGAATCTCACTTTCTTCAGGACGAAAGTCACTTCAGAAAGTAGTTTGCCAAGTCGTCTGAGCCGCTGCAATGCCAAATTGTTGTGTTGTTGATTGTGCCAGTATCACATCATCCTCCTGGGGTTAGTTTTCTCAAATTCCCAAAGGATGGAGACCTGGCAAAGCGCCGAGATGTTGCAATGCGTCGTGAAAATTTCAAGCCTATTTTCGCAGCACGAGCTATGTTTGCTCGCTGCATTTATGATCCAGAGGGACTTGAGAGCTGAGTTTTGACGAGTACGCCGTCCAGGAAAGCCCTCATCAGTGTACCAGTGCCCTCCGAACCGTGAGCCTCCAGCAAAGCGAACTCAACAAGCTGCAACTGAGAAAGCAGGGCGAGATACGTCCCATCAGGATCAGAAGAGTACATCACCCCATCAACTCCGACTGCAGCTAGCTGATGAACGATATTACCCCAGTAACTTTGCGCATACCAGTACTCAAACTGTGCACATCTGTCATCAACTGGGACGCAAACAGACAGACCCCCAGCAAGTACGAAGGTTACAGAACTGTTTGCTTGCGATGTGCAGGCAGCATGCACGACGAACTGTCTCACCAATCCTGCCAAACTGAACCAGTGTAAGTTGATTGCGTGGATATGTCTCTATTTATAACAGCTACCCTACTTCTAGGCATGGTTGCATGAATACCATATCACTCAGAGCAGTTGTTAGAAGTCTGGACAGCCTTGGAATAGTGCAAGTAAAGTGAAACAAAAATATATTACACTCCGAGTTCCACGCTTGCGGGATCACCAGGCCAAAAAAAATCTAATTTCGAACAAGGAATGGGTTCTGGTTGTATGCGAAAGAAAAGTAAGTGAAGACCTATTGTGCAAGGAATACAGTGGGAACTACACATATTATACACATGCACTCACACCATCACGCGCGTGCGTGTGCGTGCACACACACAAACACAACAACACACACACATACGCACCCACATACTCAAACTCACTCGCACGCACGCTAGCCTAAGGATAGTACATATCCTGTAGTAGTGGTATACTTAGTGAAATGACTATGTGTACATCTAATGACGCCGCCACTCCACGCCAGAAGATAACAAACATCTGCTGCAACATTTTTGCTCCCGTCTCTTATGGGCAACACAGGGAATGAAACGAACAATGCAATTGAGAACAAGAGTCGTCCTGTACGGTGAAGTTTCCATTTTCTCATACAGCAGTATATTGTCTAAGCAAGTGTGTTTTCTCCACATTCTTTTTGCCATGCAGGTATATCACAGTGTCATGCCAAACTACATTCTCAAACGCATTCGTTTCTCAATTCTGGGGATGATTGGACACGCACATCTCGCAGCTCTTGACGACGTCAATGTCAACCGTCGCCACAGCACAACCAAAAAGACCGCGATAGGAAGGTATAAAGTCCAGTTCTCAAAGCATAAAGAAGACTGTGGCCAAATAGAAAATTATACGACAGAAAGAGCTATGAGTATGTTGACAAGCTCATGTGTGAGGTGGTAGCGGTTGCAAATGGCAACCTCCATGTTCCTGCCTTGGAGAAGCGTGTTTCCCTGCCAAATTCCAGGTGGAAGCCTCCTGAGAAGGCTGAGGTGGTGCAGGATTTGGATATCTTTGCCTGATGGTATTCACAACGCAGGCTGGAAGACGACAACGAACGTGCTTGCCCAATTTGCCGTGTACATAGTGTGTACTGCCTGTGTGCCGCATAGCGTAGAGATCTACACAAACACAGAATGTCATATGGAATGTGTATGATGAGTGCTTGTACACATACCACATTGCTGTACCGTAATAATTATTATAGTCAAATACTCATTTACTCTACATATGCGCTGTATTGCACCTACCGGTACCTACCTGCACTTTCAGTGCGCGCGCCATACTAATTTAGTGTCCACTGGTACAAAGATGGAGGGTCTTGTAGAATTTACCATAATTGCTGATTTCAAATTGAATTCCAATGATCTGGGGGATGAATACTGATTAGGACGCGTTCGATTACCTACTAGTACAGAGATGTCTTGGTCAGAAAGTACAGATTTCTTACTCTCCTGCCAGAATTTGTGCATTATTTTGGTGTACGCTTTCTTGACCCCACGCTTGTACGTTGCATGCCATGGTATACTAGAAAACGAGTTTATTGACAAAGTCTATCGCTTGAAACGATTAAGTATGGGTTCGGGTGTGATCAAAATTAATGCACCCATGGTGCTCATAAACTGTGTGCAGTGCTCTCTTCACCAACAGAACACTACCTACCATACTTTGTAGATCTTGTACCAATCCAAGGGAAAATGACAAAGACAAATGTGAGTCATGCATGAAAACTTGTGATAGCACGGTCTATAGTACAGAACAACGTTGTTCGTGCTATGCCTGACAACAATAATTAGTTACACATGTCATGGCCCTGTATAGATAGTACTACTCACCAATACCACTATAGTACTGCACACATTCACTATCAGCCTGGCGCCTACCTCTACCGCAGCCCCTCATCAATGCCCATTAGAGTATTGTTCTCTTCCTTTTGATTACGATAAGCTAACCTCTCTGTCGCCGGACCTAGACTATCCATTACCATAGAACTGTCGTCTATTGCCTCTGTTGCCGGTCCGCTGGTCTGCTGTTCCGCTTTGCTACTCCAATTCCTCATTAGCAATAGTTAGTTTAGCGCAGCTCACAGCTCGTTCGCTGCTATCACTACCCTACCTTCCAATTCCCCGATCTCTATTCTTTCCTTTACTCTCTTTTACTATATTAGAACCTGCTTTCCCTTTTAGTCCTTGAGAGAGAGTTTGACCCAACTGAGTGAGCGCAACATCCTTCCTCACTATTGAACCTGAACTGAATCCACAACTAACTGCTTGTGCTTTGTGTTGTCCGTTACGCTTGGGTTTGGGGCTAAGAAGTGCACATATATTTTGTGCCAACGGACTTCGGGTTACGGAGTTACGTAGGGACGACACTCAGCCTTAGGCCACTACACTTGGTGCTGTGACCAGGATCCTTCTTGGTCCCCGTCCGAAGGCAGTTCAGCTTCTCTCTCTCCCTCACTCTCGACGACCATGAGTGAGGTACGCCAAGCGTTGGAGGATGGGGCCAACGCCCTGCAGGCCATGCGCCGCACTAGCTCTGCCAGAGCTTTACGCCGTCTCCGGGACGACCTGTCGTTTCTGGAACGAATTTTGGTACGCTTCCTGCGGAAGAACGTGGACGAAGAGCTGCGGGCGGCAGCCGTTGTTGAGGATGAGATTCGTGGCCACACTCGGACACCGCATCTGGGGCATGGCGCACAACCCGGTCGTCCTCCTCGTCAGCGCCCTGGCCAGCGCAACAACTCCAGAGCTGCTTCGAGGAATCGCTCTAGGAGCAGGAGCCCGCTGGCACGGCGCGGAAACGACAGCGCTGAAGCCCGTCCCGCCTCAGTGGCCGAGCCGAAGGACACGGGCACTACGGATGTCGCCGACCGGTCAGCCAGTGACCCACTGGCGCTGGAAGCGGAAATGCCCGCAGAACTCGTGTAACTGTTACTCACGTTTTGCCCACTGCTCTGGCCACTGCTCTGGCCACTGCTCTGTACGCCTAACCTGCTGGCTGCAATACTTACGCTGAGAATACTTCGCTGACTACATCATAGTCTTTACCGTTTACGCCGCTACATTTTCCATGCTATGTCTTGCATGCGTCAAAATGCCAGCTAGCTATCTCTCAACTCTCATGGTAAAATAATTTACGCTTTGTGACGATACCGGGTCAGAATCACGGCCTGCCTGAACCAGAATACTGTGTTCTGTTGTGTGTGTACGCCTAGCCTGGACTCTACTCTTGGCATCCGGTACATGGTAGATCTACATCAGTACATGGTAGACTACGGGTCTTGCATGACGCTGTGAACAGTCAGTCCTCAAACATTCCGTGGTTACAGTGCACTCTGGGGCACCAGTTCGAAGTAACGTTTGAGTTCTGCTTCTAGTTCTGAGCACGGAATGACATCCGGTGTGCATGTTCCACCGGCATTACGCTAAACAATAACAGTCGCGAACTGTTCTGGTACGAATATTATTATGGAAGAATCACGCACGCAACTACATCTGGGACAGTGATAAATGTTGCATGATTATTACGCTGCGCTCGAGCCATCTGCTCAGGATGCGCCGAGACTTTGGTAGTCCAATACAATGTATTGTCCGCCTCTGATATCGAGTGAGGTAACGCTGAGATCGATGCTCCTTGCACGCACTGTACCAAGGGTGCGTCTCGCCCACTTGATTCTTACTGTCCACGTAGATCTACGTGCTCGCTTTGCGGGCGGAAGCACGCCACCGATTATGATTGGGTTACGTTGGAAGAGTGTGCCGTCAGGTACGCTGTGGTCTTCCGCCACCATGGCACTCCTATTGATTAGTAGGGCCGACCACGAACGCTGATCACCCGGCTTCCGCCGATGTCGTTTTCCCCCTTTGGCGCTTCTGGTTTCTGATTGTCAGGAGCCCTATTGTATGCATGGTATCGTACTCGTATTACGCTGTTGTGATTGACAGGCGCCTGGCGCTGCCTCCGTCCTATTCACGTTTCGTTTCAGTTTCCGCTGATGATTGTCCTTTGTCCCGCGTGGCGATTGAGTTTCGCCTGGGTTACGCTTCGTCTGGTCTGATACGCCTTTGGCGATGTGGTTCCGCCTGGTGCAAGAGAATGATTGTGCGCACGATTGGTGCGGTGCGGATCGTCACTGGAGAAGTTCCTGGTCTCGTGACTGGATCCAAGATCGGAGTAGAGAGAAAAAGCTCCGATGGCTCGCGGTTTGTGGTTGCGCTAATTGCCCGTCGTTGTATTGCTGCCGAGTGCTGGCGACGGAATTGAAGCCTGATCTGACCGTGGAGTGGTTAGTGTTGTGAAATGCGTAGCCGGCTACGTGACACGCGGCGAAAGGCCGCTGTGGTGCTCGGGAGCTCGCGTCCGACTGATCACCGGAGAGCGGAGCTGGCCAGGTAAGAGCATGGATATATGCACGCGATCAGACCGTTGTCCTTGTCTTCCGAAGTTGTCCGCGGAAGGATCCAGAAGGGTTCCTGCTAGCAAGTGTTGCTGTGTTGGTGGTATTGCCGAAGTTGCCACGTAAGTTACGATCGTTGATCGTTGCTATTGAAATATTGTCCTCTATTGCATGTGTTTCCGTTGCAGTGTCTGGGGAGTTCCCATTGTTAGGTTGTCGTAGGGCGATTGTTGCAGTGCCTGTTCACTGAGTCTTTTGAAGTTCTGTTATACTGTTGTGTTGAAGGGAAGGCTATTGTAGCACCCCTTACTTACGATAGGTTTCCAGGTTTTGTGTTATTCCGTTTGTAGTTCCATTGTGTATTGTTTTCAGCTGCACGAACGTGCACTCCGCCGCCCTGTGGGCCCTCCTCTGAGCTTGTCGTTCATTTCCGCCGAGTCGTAGACTCCTGTATTCACCGTGGGTTGTCCCACGCTTCGTTGTTTGTCTGTCAGAGACCTACACGCATTAGTAGACTTGACGTACGCTGTAGATCTTCGTCAGTGAACGACCTCGAGATGGCTCAACCTGCCCGAGCCGCAGCCGCTGCTGGTGCCCCAGCGCCGGCTGCTGCCGCCGTTGCAGCTCCTGCTGCTCCCGTTCCCGCCGCCGCCGCAGCCCCTGCTGCCGCTGCCAATCCACTGATTCCACGCCCTGCTGTTATGCCTGAGGCATATGACGGTAGTGATGACTGGGTAGAGTACCACCAGTATTACGATAATTGTGCTCTCGTCAATGGGTGGGCAGACGCCCAGAAGGCCCAGTTCTTGGGAGTACGCCTACGTGGCGCTGCACAGCGCTTCTACGTTACTCTGCCCGTTGCTCGCCGCGCTAACTGGCAGCATATCTGTGCCGATCTGGCACAACGTTTCGCACCCGCCGCCAATGTGCGATTGTTCAAGGCCCAGTTCAAGGCCCGCCGACGCCAGCCTGGTGAAGACCTGGCCCACATTGCCGATGATCTTCGGCGCATGGTTGTCCGTGCATACCCACAGATGGCTGATCATGACAGGGAGGAATTGGTCAGGGACCAATTCATTGAGTGCCTCACGCCGCTCGTGCTCCGCCTCCGCCTGCAGGAAAATCCGCCTGCTACCGTACAGGCTGCCGTGGAAACGGCTTTGCATCTAGAACGCATATGGGGCAATGAGCCATCCAGAGGTGACCTCTCTCGTACCACCGGTCAACCCGACCTTGCTCAGCCGTCCTTGCTTGTGGCTGCGACGGGTGCTCCTATTGCCGCTCCTGGCTCACTTCATGCTGCGCAGCCCGCAGCCGATCCCCTGTCCGCACTAGCCGCTGCCCTTGGGTCGCTGAATAGCAAACTTGACCGCCTTGCCATGCCCTCCGGGGGCCCTCGACCTCCACGGGACAGCCGTCCCCTCTCCCAGTCTTCCGCCCGCACGCCGAGTGGGTGCTGGAACTGTGGCCGCCGCGGTCACCGCAGGGCTGATTGCCATCTGCCACCCGTCCCAGAATACCCGCGTGAGAATGCTTGGAAACCGCCTAAGTCTGCTCCTCGCTATCCTTCGGGAAACGGTCACTGACCGGAGCGACGGGCCACGCCTCCGGTCCACCACGTGATGGTCCCTCCCTCATGACGCACGCTTCGCCAGGTCTCACTCCGCCGTCCCCGGACATGATGGTCCTGGGTACTCTCAATGGTCGCACTGTTAAGTTTCT